CGCGTGTAGTGCGCGCATTGTGCGAGCGCCTGCGGGTGCGAGATGACGGTGCGAATGTCTTCCTTGGCCGTGCCCGGGAGCCCGAGGAGGCAGTGGTGCACGGGCAGGTCGACTTCGCCAACGATGTGCAAGTTGTAGCGCAAAAGCAGATCGTAGTTGGCGTGGATCGTGCCACCGACCGAGTTTTCAATCGGGAGGAGGCCGTACTCGACGTCGCCGTCGGTGACGGCCGTGAACGCGGCTTCGAACGACTCGTAGCCGGTGGCCTCGACGCCTTCGTGGCCGAGGAGCTGGTGGACGGCCTTCTCCGAGTACGCGCCGGCAACGCCTTGGTACGCGACCTTCATGCTGTGGGGTGGATGCTTGCAAGCAAATGTGAATATGGCGCTTCGCCCGCTCCTGCTTGAGCGAGTTCCTATGGCTCGTCGTTCCGACATCCCTTCGTTTATGTAGGGCCCCCTCCCATTACGCATCTGGTTTGCGTTACAAGTTGCGTTTTGTATGGTATCCAGGTGCCATCGCGATGGGTGTAGGCCCTCTGTGGAATCGAATGCGCAATAGAATCTTCTTGTGACACGTACTCCACGGGGAGGGACCGAGGGCCTCCGCGGATGCGTGATTACCAAAGACGCCACCGTGCGCTGCGTCTTTTAAGCGACCGGTCACAAGGCCACGGCCGCGGGAGAAAAACACGACCGGCGACGGACGCGCGATGTGCAAAGTGCGTCTTGATTGGCCCTGCCAAGCTACTTCGGCGATTACAGCGTCGCACGCGAGGCCTCTGCGAGGATGTGGCCGTCGACACGAGAAAGGCGTCGCCGCGCAAGCACCTAGCATTGTGTACTTGAATTCTAATGCTACTGCCGTGGAAATGGACAGGGTAGACATGCGGGGCAAGCGGCTTCGTTGCCGGCTCGCTATCACGCAATCGGTGCCTCTCGAGCGTGTTTTCCCGCCCGGCGCGCGACGACAGCGACGTAGCGTTGAAGAGTCCCCATATAAAATCCAGCGGAATTAGAAAGGTACCATCGACTGCATCTACGTACGACCAGTGCGCGCAGTGTATGAGAAGCACGAGTGCCCATCATGTGACTGGCGACCGCGGAGGTAGCGACGAGGGAAGACGATTTCTTGCAGTAGCAAGGACCCATCTTGACCACAAGAACTTCAACAGTAGCTTCAACCACCGATCAACTACTATCTATGCGGAATGCCGAACGCCATCGCTCACCCTGAACGAATCTGCTTTATTATACGGGGAGGTAAGCGCATTCTTCATGGCTTTTATCTCGCGAGAAGCTGCAGAGGTGCCTTTGATGGAGCTCGTTGCGGGATTTGGCCATACAGTATCTTTATCCGGATATATGAGCTGAATAACCAATCAAACGGCGTCCTTTGGCCCCACATCCGGTTCATTCAAAAAGCCATGTCGGGCGACATGGTCGGGCGAGAGAGTTTCGCCCGATGGACCGACGGCAGAGATGACCCAAACATTCTTGTTAGCCTGGTGACACAGAACCAGGGAATGAGCCTCCAATGAATCGCTGCTTGTATTTCGTCGATATAGTATAGGGGCTGCACTCACGCTGTCTACTGGGGGCCAGCGCCGGGACGCATTTTGCAGTGACACTTCAACGCTGCAACGCGGCAAAAGCAACATCTCCGTATAACAACACTTGGCAAACAGCTCCTTGCGAATACCGGGGCTACATGGCTTGGACGTCGAGCTTTTGGTAGTCGTGCATGAGCAAACTCTCCTGCTTGGCTTCGCCGCTGCGGCGGTCGTGCGCAAAGTGGCTGTGAGCAAAGACAGCCGAGACAAAGAGCAGCCACAAGAGCACAAAGGTGTCCCAGACGCTGCCAAAGAACGAGTCGACCGAAGCGAACGCAATGAATTGGTACACATACGCCTTTCCGAGGGGCGTCTCGAGGCCGCGGGGCAGCTCAAACGGCGCCAAGGCCGGCTGGACTTCATGGAACGCAAGCCAGACGCCGATGAGGAGTATGTTGAGGCCCAGAAACACTAGACATAGACGTTGCTACATACTCAATCGGAGAAGAACGTACGCGACGAGAGCGAGCTGTAGCTTGCGACTAGTCGACGTACGAGCATAAGACGAGCGCAATGAGGTAGTGAGAGGGTGGGTACCTAGGGCGAGGCCAAGGCCTTGGATCGCGATAAGACCTGCAGCGCTGCAGCTCAGAAGGCGAGACTGGACGTCTTTGGCCATCTTGGTTTCAATGGCACTTGAGTCGAGCCTTTCGCGGCGAATCTTTGACGTGGCCAATCAGGTGCACGCGATCTCGTGTCGAAAGATCTTGAAACAAGCAACGCGATCATTCAAAGAAAATGTTCAAGGTCATTCAACGACGACAAAGCTATTGAGTTTGAGCAGATTGATTGAGTTGAGCAGATAGAGGAGGCACAGTTGTGAAGGCGAATGCTTTAGCATTCTTCGCTGCAGCGCTCGCCTTCGCCGTTGTCTCTCGGCCTTGGCGCGTACTTGATTGCCACGGTCGCGTAGGCCATCGTAAGTGGAGCTCTAAAGCTGAATGCGCAGTCTTCAAGTAAAACATCGCAGTCACTTGTCATCCGTGTAGCTCGTGATGCTTCCAGCCATGCTCCCACGGGCGTGGTATTATTTAAGCCAAATCCAATAGAAAGCGCTCGGCGGTTTCGCGCCCCTTCGCAGTAGACAGGCGGTGGTTTCTAGTCGCGTTTCAGCACCAAGCAGACCAGCAGCTCGATGCCCGTCTACGCGGCGATCTCGCCCAAGTACAATGCGGCGCTCTCGATCGAAGCGCTGCACAATGCGGGCTTGCTCACGGACACGAGCATGAAGATGTACACGCCGCAGACGCTCACGCGGTTGAACCGGTTCGAAGTTGTCTTTACCTTCTTCACGGTTCCCGACTCGTCCGTGTACAGCAAGGTGTTCCACCACTTTATGGGCATCTCGGCGCTCGTGTCGTGCGCGTCGCTCTTCCTCCGGACGCTCGACGGTCCCAACATGGACATTTACGAGGCCGGGAACCCCGACTACCCGAATTTGCCCGACGAAGCCACCTATGTGCTCCTCGACGGCATTTTTACGTGCATTTTCACCATTGACTTTGTGATCCGGATCGTAATCTGGCCGTCGATGTGGGCCAACGTCGACGTGCTCAAGGAGCGCCGCTTGCTGCCGTTTGCCAAAGACATCTTTAACTGGTTTGACGTGCTCGCACTCGTGCCCTTCTACATTGATCTCATCTTTGGGAGTGGCACGAGCTTCGTCGTGCTGCGCTTGGCGCGTCTCTTGCGTATTTTTCGCTTGGCCAAGGTACAATCTGTCATTTCGATTTCGTAGTTGCCAAACTTTTGTCCCTAGAACAATTCTGGCACGTACATCCTCGTCCAAGCCATCATTGCCAGCGTGCCCGCCATCACTGTTGCGGTACTCACATTTTGTTGTTGCAATCGCATCGAAGCGTCTTGGGGTAGTTGATCTTCTTGACGGAAATTGTGCTCGTCTTCTCCTGCCTCATGTACCTCTTCAACCCGTGCACGTCCATTGACACGTGCATGTTTACGGACCTTCTCACGTCGGCCTACTACGTTGTGACAACGTACGCGTCCTACCGCGTGTTTCTAGAGCCAAGGATTCATATCGCTGGGTAGGGTCTCGACGGTCGGGTACGGGGACGTGGTGCCGGCCGATGGCAACATGCTCGGGCGGTGCACGGCCGTCGTCATCATGGTCATTGGTACACTCTTCTTGTCGATGCCGCTGGCGATCGTCGGCACGGAGTTCGACCGCGCGTGGCGCGACCACACGGACAAGGTCGTCGCGCGCAGCATCGAGTCGATGCACGCGCTCGCCGCGGGCACGAGCGAGAGCCAAAAGAAAGCCGACCACGCGCTGGAAGAGAACCCTGAAATCCTCACCAAGTACATGACACCCAACAGTCTCTACTTGCGCCTCGCCGCGCTCACGGGCGAAATGACGCTGATCGCGGCGACGCTCAGCGCCGAGCTCAAGCACGAAACAGACATCTCCAAGATCTACCAGACCGCGCAGGACCTCCATGCGCACATGATGCAGTGCCAAGAGCAGCACGTCCAACTCGTCTTGACGATCGAGCAAATGGTCGCCGAAGACCACACCAACGACGCGGTACGCATCCTATCCCGCTTTCGTGTTTCGTCACGCGCCAGTAGAACAACGGCCGAGGGTCGATCCGAGATCGTATTGTCGCGTCGTTTCGGCGGAGCTTGACGGGGAAAGAGCTCCAAAAACAAACGGCGTCGGCTGTCGGCGCACATAAGACCGAGACCCGCGCGTCGCGCTTCGGGCTTCGGTGGTGCATCTTCATCTTTAGCATTGGCGTGCTCTTTGTGCAGACGATGCCTGACATGCAACCCTTTGGCGAGAACACGGCCTACTGCAAGACGGTCGCACAGACGTACTGCGGGTATGCGTCTTCGTTCAACGCCAGTGCGGACCCCGCGTGCTTCTCGAGCGTCAACACGAGCATTCCACTCAACTTTGAGTGCGACGCCAAGACGTCCGACACGGCGCACTGCTACGGCGATGGCAACAACTTTGGCAGCCTCTCGCTGAGCGCGTACAACTGCTTGTACCCCAACGTGAATCACAACTACACGGGAGTGGGGAACATGCTTCCGTTTCGACCAATCTGGGAGCTCACCAAGGCAGAGCGGCCCCACTACGTGTGCAAGCGGCCCGAGTGCCAGCGGCTGCACTTTTACTATCTCAACGCATCGCCGTACTGGTACGCCCTCGAGTACATCTTTTCCTTTGCTCGCTCGTCGAGCTCCTCTCGATGCTGGCGCTCACGGGCCCGCGCGCGATGAACTGGAAGAACCCATACCAATGGGCCGACGCGATCGCGTTCATTCCGTTCCTCATCTTTGAAGCCAATCGGTTCTTTATGGGGATTACGCCCGACTACGCCATCGTGCCAACCTCCAATAGCATCCTCACCGCGATGCGCTTTTGCCGCATTTTCCGTTTTTTCAAATCCAAGCGGTAATCTTGTCGCCGATTTCGGTGAAACGGAGTGTCCTGTAGGAAATCCCAGCCACGTTTGTTGTGCGCGAGGCCATTTCCAAGACGTACGTGCGCCTCGTGATTCCGGTAGGCAGCTACAACACACGGCAGACCTCCGTGGAGATGGACGATGTTGATGTATCGCATTTGGATAGTACTTTATGCTCGCCCTCTCGACGACGATCTTTGCGTTCCTTATCTACCAAGTCGAAATGGGCACCGAGTGCTTTGTGGGAACGCCGTGCCACGACAGCGCCGGCAAACTCATCAAGCTTCCACCGACGACCGCGCACATGCCGACGGGAAAGCGCGTCTTGATCGATGTCCGCGGCCAGCTCTCGCAGTTTGAAGACGTCTTCTCTGGCATTTGGTTTATCATTGTCACGTTCGTTAGCATCGTTTCTGCGCAGGACCCTAACCACCATTGTGTAGGATCACGTCCGTGGGCTACGGGGACATCGTGCCAAAGAACATGAGTGGCAAGTTCATTGCCGTGCTGGCCATGATCTTTGGCGCTTGCTACACGGCGATGCCTCTCACGCTTGTCGGCAGTCAGTTCAACCGGAGCTACAACGACCACACGCGGCGCGAGGCACTCACGCGCACCAAGAAGGATGTGGGATCGCGCCTCACATTACCGACACCCGACTTGACGAGCTGGAAGCTCTTTCGGACGCAGTCGTTTATGGCTGAAGTGCAGTCCATGTACGAGCGTGGTATGCTTTCTTTTGTGTTTGCGTCATGTTGCATTTTGACACGCTATGTGCAGAGTTCATGTCGCTCTTGCCCGAGCTCGACGAAGACCTTGTCGCACAGCTCACGCTCTCGGAGGAAGAACGTTCCGAGAAGATTGCCATCATCACCAAAGTCAAGGACAAGATCGAAAAGTACAAGGTGGACGCTTCACGGTGAACGCTCGCGACGCTCATGGATCGGTAGATTTCGATTTTGCAAAGCGCTCGCGTCGTGAGCCGGTTGTACCACGAAGGCATTCGGTTGGCCAAACAACAAACCTCGGCGCTGCATCGGTTGGGCTAACCGCGGCTACGATATGGTGCATGGCTCGTCGTAGCAATGAATTCTCAATAGATGTATTTTCATATTCGCATGCATCAACCTTTCTCGTTGAAGCAACCGAGCGAGTTACTTGACAGTGACTACCGTGGTATCGAGCAATCGCGGTGTCGTCTTGGCGGTAAATGAGCGCCGCACCCACCTCCACGAAGCCACCAAGCTCTTGGGCACATTTGACCGCGCCTTAAGCACTTGCAGGGTGCTATAAACAGAAAGCTTCTCAGCACTTGCTGCGTCGGTTGTTGTACCGAGGGGTCTGGTTCCCACTGCTGCGCAAAAAGTCGATGATGGCCACGGTATCCAGCGTCTCGATACGGACGCCGTTCAAGTGGGTCAGACGATCGCCAGCGTCCACGCGCTCGAGTGCAGGTGCTGTAGCCCTAAATACGCACCGTCCATAATTTACAGAGCTCCAGAACGCATGGAAATGTACCGTTCAAACTCGTGAAACACGGTATACTTGGTTGAAAAGTCCGTCTCGAGCGAGAGGCCGAGGGCTTCCGACGCCGATGGCGCTTCAATCGTCACGCGTCGGAGGCGGGAGGCCACCCACGTCTGGCGAGCACCCCGCGATTCGCCGGTACTCGACGGCGCCCGAGCGAGGCTCGAATTGAGGAGCTCGGTCAAGACACGCGGCGCCGATGTTATTGTAATCGTGCTACTTGGTACTGCACTGGTGCCGCCAGTGGGTTGAGGACTCCGACGGCGCCACGGCGAGAGTGGCCGCTGCGCCCGAAACTCCCGTTCGTAGAGCGTCAAGTCCCGAAAAAGAAGCGAACGCGGCTCGCTTTTGAGCTTCTCGAGCGCGACCGAGACCATCCCGACGTGCGACGCGCCGGGTGTTGGATCCGCGTGGATGCCAAGCGCCGAGAGGCCGTTGATCGCGATAAGCAGCTGTCCGGGTGCGATGCCATCGCGTCGCCGCTCTTTGTCCACCCGCGGCGACAGCAGAGGCCCATCGGAGACGCACGCAAACGGCTCGATCGTTGGCACTTCGAGCATGCGTTCGACTTGTGCAAAGCGGAAGTGTGGCATCCAGTCTGGCGTCGGGATCGTCACGATATCGTAGTCGTCATCCTGCGTCGCCGATACCATGGACGCCGAGAGCCGAAGCAGCGCCAACTGCTTTGGAAAGAGACTGAGATCGTTGCTCAAGAGTAGCTCTCGAACGTCGTCGACCGGTGCCCCGATGACGACGTGGTCGTTGACCTTGACGACGCATTTTCCAACAATCCGTGCCGGCCACGCTGCGTCCACGTCGACGCCAGCGACGACGAACGGCTTGACCATGAGGAACGACTCGCCAAGCTGGAATCCAAGTGGTTGCGACGGCGGAAAAATGACTTCAAACTCGCCGTCGTCCATGTGCGCTTGCTCTTCCCGCAGCCATGCCTCGACGAGCGACTCGGTGGTCGTAAAGAAGGATGCGCCGGCCTTGGGAAGAAACGTCAGCTGCAGTGGCTTCCCGCTGCTCTTCGCTTCGCGCAACTTCTTCATGACATCGCGAAACGAGTATGGAAGTACGTTGGTTGCGTTCTACAAGCATCCATTTATGACGCCCTTGAGGGATCGCATCGAGTACGATGGCCACGAGCACGTCGCCAGGCGTCAAGTCGGGGCAGATGCGCTCGACGGGTCCTGTGGAGTAGTGAGTACATGCGCAGCGACCGGCGCGTCGTGTACCCGGGACCGGCTCGATCTTCTTGACAAGGACATGACCGTCGTGGTTGAGAGCAATGCGGATACCGAGGTCGCCTGGCTCTGTAAACGTCAGCTACAGCAAGGCCATGGGTCCGCCATGGTCATAGCAATGGGCGAGGCTACCTCGAGGACCTCGTCGGAGCTGCTGCCACGGTCCATGGGCTGCGTCGCCGCTGCTTCCTGCACCTCGGTCGCTGTCATCGCAAACTATTTTTGGCACCGAGCCAAATGATCTTCTGGATCGTATCCGGCTTCACACTATATCCTATCCATAGTACGTGATATAGTGCAGAGAGCAATATCGACGCCTCGACGCATCGACGCATGACCATAGCATATTGCTGTCCATGACAAGCATCTCTTGCGCCAGACCGTGTTTCACATATACAACTATATAGTACAGGATGGCGCGCATCGCACCGCCTTGGTCAAAACACGACCCTTCAACAACACTATTTTATAATACTACACTATATTACACTTTTGGTTTGGGAAACTTGATCGCAGCATGGCGCGCCGGATCGAGCGGCTGGAGCAAGCGGTCGTCGACAAGATCGCAGCCGGCGAGGTCGTCCATCGGCCCGCGAACGCGCTCAAGGAGCTTCTCGAGAACAGCCTCGACGCCGGCGCGCGCCAGATAGCAGTCGTCGCCGGCGCCGGCGGGCTCAAGCTGCTGCAGATCACCGACGACGGCTGTGGCATTGCGCGCGAGGACCTCGACATAGTCTGCGAGCGCTTCACGACGAGCAAGCTCCGGTCGTTCGAAGACCTGCGCGAGATATCCTCGTATGGCTTCCGCGGCGAAGCGCTCTCGAGCGTCTCCCACGTCGCGCACGTCACGATCACGTCCAAGACGAACGACCAGCCGTGCGCGTACCGGTACACTGGTTTTCTGAGCGCTCAGAACTAATGGCAAAGTAGAGCGCACTACCGCGACGGCGTCCTCGTGCCCAAGGTGCCGGGTGGCCCGACGGCCCCTGTGCCCTGCGCCGGCAAGACCGGAACACAGATCCTCGTACGTATGAACGCTAGCATGTCCATATAGCGACCTCTTGTAGGTCGAAGACATGTTTTACAACCTTACGACGCGCAAGCAAGCGCTCAAGAACGTCTCGGAGCAGTACCAGCGCATCCTCGACGTCGTGCAGCGCTACGCCTTGCACTACGCTGGCCAAGGCAAGGGCTTGTCTGCAAGAAGCACCGCGAAGTCACTTGCGACGTCAACGTCTCCCAAGGCACGAGCCAAGTCGACGTGATCAAGGCCATTTTCGGTCCCTCCATTGCAAGCGAGGTCATCCCGGTCGCGTTCACCGAGGCAACGCCGGTCGGCAACGACGCGCCAGTGACGGCAACGGGCTACGTCACCAACGCCAACTACAAGTAGGCATCTCCCTGCATGCGATTAGAGTCTATATATGTGTGTTGATGCGCGTATATAGCACGAAGAAGGCCACGTTCATCCTCTTTATCAACAACCGGCTCGTCGAGTGTCCGACGCTCCGGCGGGCCATCGAGCACGTCTATGCGCAGTACCTCCCCAAGCACAGCCATCCGTTCGTGTACTTGGCCATGGCGATTCCGCCCATGAACGTCGATGTGAACGTCCACCCGACAAAGCGCGAGGTGCATTTCCTGCATGAAGAAACGCTGGTGCAGGCGATAGCTGATTACGTCGACGCACTGCTTCGTGGCGGGAACGAGTCGCGCGTCTTTGCGGTCCAGCCCATCGCGTCGATGCTCACGTCCCACTTGGTGACGCGCCAGGTCGCGGCGTCGTCGAGCGCACTCTTTTCCCAAGACAGCGCAGCCGACAACGAAGAGGATGCCGATGACGCGTCTTCCGACGACCAGGCGACGCCAAAGCGCAAGGCGAAGAAACGACCATGGGACGAGACGTCGCCGCTGGTGCATGTGAGCTTGACCAAAGCCAAAGCCAAAACGTACGTTGCGGCCAAGGTACATGAGCAGAGAGTATCAAGTGGATGGAATTGACGTGGCGTAGGCACCGCAGCGGCTCGTGCGCACCGACCACCAAGCGACGACGATGGACCAATTCCTTGTGTCGGACACGTCGTTCCATGCGGACGACGAAGATGACGTCACCATGGACTTGGACTCGACCTTGGACGAAAGCGAAATCCTACCACCGACGCCGCGGCGGGCCAGCCAAGACACGCCGAGCACGGCCGACGGCGAACTTGGGGATGGCAACGACGACGACGAGGGTACGTCCTTTCGACGCTCCCACAATGAGTCTTCACGTACATAGTTAGATGTGGATCCGCAGAGCTTGACGAGCATCATGAACCTCAAGGACCAGATTCGAGCGCGCTGCGATCGCAGCTTGACCAAAGTACGCCAGCGTCGAATGATCGCGTGGCTGATAACGTGCTTGACCGATACTAGCTCTTTCGCGAGCACACGTTTGTCGGGCTCGTCGACGACCACTACTCGGTGATCCAGCACTTGGAAAAGCTGTACATCGTTCGCCACGGCGCCGTGGCCATGGCACTCATGTTCCAGCACATTGTGCGTCAGTTTGGGTCCTTCTCGACCATCACGCTGCACGAGCCGCTCCCGATCATGGACCTCGTGCTCTGCGCGCTCGAGAATCCACAGAATCTGTACTCCGAGGCCGACGGCCCCAAAGACGCCATCGCCCGCGCAATCCAAACAACGCTGCTCGACAAGGCGCCTATGCTGGCCGAGTACTTGGGCGTGCACTTTACGCCCGAGGTACGATCCTGAAACATTGATATCTCGATGCAAGGCGCCGTAGGGCTTGCTGGCACGCATTCCTGTCGTCTTGCCCGGCCACGAGCCATCCATGCACGCGTTGCCTGAATTCATTTTGCGGCTCCAAGACGTCAATTGGGACGAGGAAGAAGCGTGTTTCGAAGGTGTGTGTACGACGCTCGCGCTGTGGTACAGCGACATGGCGTACCCCGAGGCCTCAAGCGAGAAGGCGGCGCATGTGCTCAAGCACGTCATCTACCCCGCGCTCAAGACGACGCAGTTTGAGCCCCCGCACCAGCTCCACGACAATGGGATTCTGCGCCCGATCGCGAGTCTGAGCAACCTCTACAAGATCTTTGAACGCTGCTAAGAGCACAGTACGCTGCAAGAAGGTTCTCTCTTAGTCGAGCTGGGGTTTTGTCGAGGCGTCCGTGACGGGCTGCACGTACACAAATTCTTCGTGGCTGCGAGTGCAGCTGTCGGGGCACGACCAGACGAGCACGGTTTGCCAGTCCATGCCGCCGCCCAGCACGATGCCCGCGCCTTCCGTGTGCGTCTCGTGGGCGTATTTCTCCACGTTTAAAAAGTAGTTGGTCGTTGGCACCAGCTACGCCGCATCAGAATTGGTGCATCCACAAGGCGGGTCTACCTGGAGCTCAAAGACGCGGGACGCGCCGCAGGGACACGGCGGCACGTCGATCTTGGGCGGCGGCGACGACCAGAGCGGGTTCCCGCCGTAGTGGTACCGCAGACACTGCGTCGGCGCTCGCTTCATGCGTTTCTGGAAGCGAAGAAAGAGCTTCTCGCGCAAGGGCGTGCGCTCGTACGCTTCGACCGACTCGCTTTCGCCGGCGCTGGACGCCACGACGTCGGTCTTGGCCTTGAGGATCGTCTTGAGCCGCGCGACCTCGGTCGCGTTCTCCTTTTCCTCTTCGGCCAAGTACGCGTTGAGGAGCTGCGTCTCGTGCTGGTAGCGCTCGGCACCCGCCGACTCGGGCTCGTCTTCCACGTGCAGCGATATGGCGGGAAAGTGCGGGCGCGCGCTGGCCGAGGTCGTCGTGCTCGTTGCCTTGGGCTTGGCAGGTGCCGAAGCGACCTTGGTCGTCATGGCCGAGTCGCGCGCATCAAGAAGCGCTTCGAGATCGACAGTTGACGATGTAGCGGCAACCGGAGCGCCCCATGCAGAGGTGCCCACATCACCCCAATCGTCGTCGTCGTCATCGTCGTCGCCCCAGCCGGGCGTCGCTGCCGGGCGGGCGGCGGCGGCGCGTCTACGACAACTTCATCGAAGGCCTTGGCCTCGTATCGAAGCACGCGCCAGCTACGATCGAATGCACGTACTATTGCTAGGGCTCAAAACGGGAGGGATGGAGTACCTGTTGGGCGTCGTCGTGCACTTGATCGAGTTGCAGCCGAAGATGTAGAGCGTGCGATCGGTTGTCACTGGTGCATACACCTAGGTGACGCATGCTACATTGCAGGTAGAGAGCGCGGTAGCGGTCACTCACCTGGGCGACGAGGTAGAGCTGGTGCTGGCAGCGCGGGCAGACGAGATCTTCGTAGGGCAGCGAGGTCGCCGGGTCGTAGTACGCCTAGAACCAGCGTCTTATCAAGGTCAGGCTAGGCTCTCATACCGGCAGACCGCCCAACTTGGCCGTGTAGGGGCATGCGTCGTCGACGGCGACGTCCTTGGCGGGCAGGCCGAGCAAGATGGACGCTTCCTCGCTCATTTGGCGCGATTCAAAATGCGGCCAGTCACGTGCACTCCGCATACGCTGTTAATTTATCCGGAATTCCTAGTCAACACGACGGCAATACAATTCCTACATACAAATGTCAAGTTCCAACGGAATAAAAATGCTGGTACCCAGTGCCTTGAACGTTTTTGGACCGACGGCGATGGCACGGGCGACCAAGGAGAAGGTCCATTATGGCGAGTGGGAGACGCCCGCCAAGACGTATGGGTCCTCGAGCGATGAGAGCGACGATCAACATCCGCTGAAGAAGCCCGCGGCCAAGAAGGCCAAGCTGTCCGCGAAGGCCATGGCGCCGGCCGTCGCGGTGGACCCGGTGCCCAGCAAGAAGAAGCGCCCGCTCGATGCGGTCGAGTCCAAGAAGGCCGACCCTGCGAAGAAGGCAGAAGCTGTCGCAAAGAAGCCCGAGAAGCGGCCGAAGGCGTCGCCCAAGTCGCCCGATTCGTTTGCCTCTGTGGTCGAGGAGGTCCTTTTGTCACTGGACGGCGACAAGGACAGCAAGACCGCTTTGAAGAAGCTGCGGCGCGACTATGCGGAGCTCTCAAGCCTGCGGCAAACGGAGCCGGAGAAGCTCTTGGAAGAGTCGCGCAAGCTCGCGAAAGCCGAGGCAGACGCCCACGACAAGGCCACGTCCAAGATGAAGCAGGAGATTGGCAACCTCACAAAGAAGCTCGACAAGTACGAGCGCATGCGCGAAGACCTCGAGCGCGCCAAGTCCAAGCAAGACGCCAAGTCGGCATCGTCGAGCGAGTAGGCTCCGAAGACGATGCAGACAGAGGTTCACGCATCTCTATCGTAGATTTGCAGACCTCAAGCAAAAGTTCGACCAGCTGCGAGCGGAAAACACTTCCTTGCGGCTGCAGCTCGAGGAAACCCAGGCGGGGCAACCCACGTTGTCGGCCAACGCGTCAGTCTCCGAGATGTACGCCAAGCTCGCGCACACCAACAAGGTTCGTGCCGGCCGTTTACTCGACATGGAGCTAACGACGCGTCACGTAGCTCCTGCGCATGTACGAGCTGGTCACGAGCATGCACATGACACTAAAGAAGGACGGCGACGTGCAGGAGGTCGCATGCCGCGTGACCGACTCGCTCCGGGCACAGCAGTTTGCGTTTGAGCTCGCGATTCCGACCAACCCGCGCAAGCAGATCGACTACCTGCCGTCGCCGGAAGAGGTCGCGTACCACAAGCGCCAGGCCGACGCCACCGCACCGGCCTACCTCCTGGTATGTTCCCTTGTCGTCGTCGTCGTCGTAGGATTCCCGTCCACTCACCGCTTGCTGTAGGAGGATTTGAGTTTTTCCCGAAGCGAGCTCACGCGCTTCATGCGCACGATGCTGGACGCTGTGATTCGCAAGCCCACATAAGCCAACCCGATGTATCGTCGAGGATAAATCCAGCTACCGCACTGTATTACTGAAACACTTTGGGGTCGGTGAGGCCGCGGAGCGCTACGTAGTCGGCGTGCTTGAGCAGCGACGCTTGGATCTCGGCCACTTCGACGGGCTTGGGACGCACGATGGCAAGGAAGCCTTCCGTAAACGGCTACACGCAGCATGTCCATCACCATGCATGGAGATGATGGCGTCAGTACCTTGCGCGTGACGAGCTCGGGAGTCTCGAGAAGGCGTTCGTTGAACTCGATGAGCGCACCGCGGATGCAGCTAGGACCGAGAATGAAGAGGACTTGGTATGATGGCGGGAGCTACCTGCGGATGCTGTACGTCACGTCGTTGGCGCACACGATGCGGCAGACGATCGACTGCGGGTTGAACCACACGCCGCCCTTCTTCTTCTTCCCCGAGACCTTGTTGTCGAGCACCGACTGCTCAAACTCGACCTTGGTCACAGTGAGGTTGTCCTTGAAGATGGCATGACCCGGCGCAATGCCCAGCTAGTAGTGCAGTAGAGCTCGTCATAACGAGCTCGACACAGGTTCAAGAGCGTACGACGCAAAGGCGGTTCGAATGCATGTTGACAAACTGGTCTTCGAAGGGCTTTTCCAGCACGTCGGACGCGTACAGGCGCGTGTAGTAGCGGTCGACCATCGAGCCCGTGCGCGCCACGTACTCGGCGACCGGCGCGTCCTTGGCGTCTTTTGTGCTCACGATGAACTTGTCGTTTTGGCGCTGCGCGCCCTGCTCGCGCAAAAGCTTGCGTTGCGCCGAGACCGTGATGGCGCCACCGTCCTGAATCTCGTCCCTATCCGAAGCGATGTGATCGCGAGCATGAACCAACCGCACGTACAAGCCATGGGCGTAAACGCAGTCGGGGTACGGGCAGCCCGTCGGTTTGTCAAAGTGCCGGCAGAGCTGCGTCTTCTTGAGCGCTTGCTTGCGCTCGCGGCGGCGCTTCTTGCCCACAAGCTTCTGCTCTGGCTCGGCGGGCGCAGCAGTTGCCGTCGGCGTAGTCGCCTCGACCGCAGGCGTCGGGGCGGCTGCTGGCGGCGTGGTCATCGGCGCCTCTTCGGTAGTCTTCCCGCTTGCCTCCATTCAAATTCGCACGTTGGATGCGATCCAGGCCAACTCTGATTGGCGTACAAAAAGCGCACCCAGTGTCATCTTCCGATATAGGTGCGCTTTTCCATTGCTACATGCGACCAGCGTGCATTGCAACCGTCCTGCTCGTCTGCCTCACGACTCGCGTGCTGTCGATGAACGTCTTGATTGTCGAAGCCGATGGCTACTTTGATGGCCACAAGCGCGTGCGCGTGCCTAAGGACGCGTCCATCGAAGCCATCATGTCTGCCATCCACGCCCTCTTGCCGCCGTCTGCGCCCACGTCCATGGCCATCTTCGATGCCACTGCCAACACCTTTGTACCATTGACCACCGCAGCGCAAGTCAAGACCCATGCGCGCATCCTGTTGCCGCGCCGGCCATCGGGCCCGGTCGCAGCAATCGCGAGTCGCGGCTTCAACTTTGCGTTCGACAAGGGCGAGATGACAATCCACGGTGAGCCGGTGCTCATTGGTGAGGTCGGCAACACGGGCCAAGGCACGGGTTTGACGATCTGGGACGGCTCGGTGGTCTTGGCCAAGTACCTCGAGCCGCAGCCGCGAGGTAGCCCCCACAGTGTCGCTGGGCGCCGCGTCATCGAGCTTGGCGCAGGCACGGGCCTTGTCGGGCTGGCCGCGGCCTTTTGCGGTGCCGACGACGTGCTCCTGACGGACCTTGCGTACACGCTGGCCAATACCAACCACAACATTGCCCTCAACGAGCCGCGGCTGCGCAGCTTGTACCCGACCCAAACGGTGCGGGCTGCAGAGCTCGACTGGTTCAGTCGCGACTTCCCGTCGTCGTTGCAGCTCGACGCGGTCGACGTGATCGTAGGTTCAGACATTGTGTGGGTTGAGACATTGATTCCCGCCCTGGTTGCAACCATTGAGCGACTCTTGCGCTGGCCACTGACGCCAGGGCGCGGCAAAAAGAACCGACTCATGCTGCTGTCGCACCAAACGCGAAGCACAGCGTCCGACGAAATGCTCTTCCGACTCCTTGGTCACGCCGGTCTCTCGGTGCGGCGCCTTCTCGACGACAAAGACGACGCGCCGCGCGTCGCGGCCATGTACCCGGACGAGAGCATGGCCCAGAAGATCCGTTTGTTCGAGATCCAAGACGTCCAGCACGAAGACTCAGCTGCTACTACGATCTAGTCGTCCTCTATCACTTGTAAAACGTAAAGTCGTGCCCGTATACGACGACACATCGAACATCACTGCAGTGGCGAATTGCGTTCATTTGTTTGATTTTAAAGCGCAGCGTTGCACCATGTCCTCTACCAAGTCATGCAATCGCCACGGACGTCGCAGCGAAGCCACCGACTCTTCTTGCGAGCGAGCCCATAGTACAGTGCACTCGACACTGCTACTGCATTCGAGGGTACCACACTAGTAGGCAAAGTACATCGTATTGATTCGAATCGGCTCAACTTTAAGAAGCATCTTGAAGCCACCCGTTAGCTCACTCGTTGCCTTGCTCCATACACCATCCCAGAGTGCTCCCAGAGTCGCAACCGTGCTGATTGATGTGGGACACGTGGTCTTGCCATGTTCAACTTGCGCCGCATGCATCCGGTATCAGGTCGTCGACGACGAAGCGCTCTCGCGACTGCTGCGCTCGGACGCTGCGTCGGTCCCATGGCCTTGGACGACCCAAGATTTTTGCGGCGATCTTCGTGCAATCTCGCAGAAAGGGCAACGTGAATCTTCCGTACATTCCTCTCGTACATCGTACATTGTGTCCCCCGTCCGTGTCGACAGGCCGTGTTGACACCGACAACGCGGCGATTGGGTGCCACGTTCGCTGTACGACGTACGCGAATGGACGATGTACGGTTTGACCTGGCGCTGTATCCACGCCATGTACTGAGGCGACGGCGCGCGTGGGACAAGACGGCGCGACCGCATGGCCAAGGCACTCACATGGGTAGCTCACCGCATGTCTCGGAACGCCCGCGGGCAGCATTTGCTCCACATGGCATTCTTCAATCGCCCACCCCTCGTTGTTGTTATGCCGCCGGCGCCGTCCTACAAGGCGGTCTCCATCGGCCATGAGCGCAACCGCGACGATCCTGCCGTCCACCCGCGCACGCACGCGTCGCACCTCTCGCGCGCGCTCTATTTATGGACCTCGCCGCTGCTCGCGCTCGGCAACGAGCGGCAGCTGGACATGGCCGACGTCTGGCCGCTCGAGCCGTCGCACGTCTGCAAGCGCGTGAGCCGCCGCTTCGAACGCAACGTGCGCAGATCGCACTCGATCTGGCGCACGATCGTAGCGCTCCACGGCCGGCGGTTTGCTGCCATTGGCGCCATCCAGGTGCTCGTCGTCGGCTGCACGCTCTACGCGCCGTACGTGCTGCACGAGATCGTCTCGGCCGCGAGTGCGGACGCCGGCGCCTTTGCGATGGCAGACGTCCTCTTCGTCGTCGGCGCCCTCTACATCGTCAAGGTCATCCAGGCGATTCTGAGCGCACGCGTGAGCTTCGAGACGCAGCGCATTGCACTGGACGTGACGTCGGCGCTGCAGCACCTCCTCTTCCAGAAAGCGCTCGTCTTGGACGCGAGCGCCCGCCGGGAAAAGAGCTCGGGCGAGATCGCCAACATGTTTTCCACCGACGTCCAAGCCATCATCAACTTTTCCGTGGGCGCCAACCAGCTCTGGCTCTTCCCGTTGCAAACAATTGCGATCTTGTACATGCTCCACCGCGTGATTGGGTACGCGGCCTTTGTCGGCGCCGGCGTCATTGGCGTCGTGCTTCTCACCAACAACTGCCTCGCGACGACGCAGCGCTCGGTGTTTCGGCGCCTCATGGAGCTCAAGGACGCGCGCATGAAGTCGGTCAGTGAGATCTTTGGCGCGATGCAGATCCTCAAGCTCAACGCGTGGGAAGAAAAGTTCTACGACAAGCTCTCGGACGACCGTGAAGTCGAGCTCGGCGCGCTCCGCAGCGTCTTTCGCCTCCAGTCGGTCTGGGTCGGCCTCCTCCTCGCCGCGCCGATCGTTGTCACGATCGCGTCGCTCGCCACATATACGCTGGTGATGCACAAGACGCTCTCAGCCGCCAAGGTCTTCACCGCGCTGAGCCTCTTTAGCATGCTGCGGTTCCCGATGATGGCGCTGCCCCAGGTCATCGCCAACCTCATGCAGGCGCTCGTGGCCACGCGGCGGATACGCGAGTTTCTCGACCTCCACGAGAAGGATGTCGCCGAGGTCATGACGCCGGCGACGCACCCCGAAGCCGCCAAGACGTACGCGGCCTCCGACATTGTCATCGCCAACGGCACGTTCGCGTGGACGGCCGCGACACCGCCGCTGTTTTCCAACGTCAATCTGTCCATTGCCAAAGGCGAACTGGTCGTGATCCATGGCGTCGTGGGCGCAGGCAAGTCGTCGTTGATCGCAGCGCTTCTCGGCGAGATGCACAAGGCCGACGGCAGTCTTGTGTACCGCGGCGGCGACGTGGCGTACTTTTCGCAGCAGGCGTGGATCCAAAACTCGACGATCCGCGACAACATCCTCTTTGGCCGGCGCTACGACCGGAAAAAGTACCACGCCGTCCTCGACGCCTGCGCGCTGACCAAGGACGTCGCGCTCCTGCCGGCGGGCGACCGCACCGAGATTGGCCAGAAAGGCGTCAACGTCAGCGGCGGCCAGAAGGCGCGCATCGCACTCGCCCGCGCGTGCTACAGTGACGCCGACATTTTTCTTTTGGACGCGCCTCTGTCGGCGGTCGATGCGATCGTGCAAAACGATATCTTTACCAAGTGCATTCTCGGCCTCTTGTCCAAGAAGACAGTCCTGCTCGTGACGCACTGCCCCGAGATCATCGAGTCCAAGCTCATTGACCGCACGATCGAGGTCACCAAGCACGGCGTCCTTCTCAACACACCGGTGCAGAAGGAGCTCCCGAGCCCGCTCCAGCAACATCTTGTTTTCTCCCGCTGCTCGAGCGACGCCTCGGAAGCGCACGAAGACGCGCCGTCGCCGATGCCGATGCCAGCCTACCCGCCGTACGCGTACGAAGAAGAGAACTCGCCGACGGGCCAGCTCATTTTCCAAGAGATGCGCTCGAAAGGCCGTGTCTCGACCAAGGTGTTTGCCTCGTATGTGACGGCGATCGGCGGCGGCAAGGTCCTTCTGACCTGGGCGGGCCTTCTCCTTCTTGGGCAGACGATGCAGGTGGCCGGCGACCTCATGCTTGGCGCGTGGAGCTCGGCGCCGGCGACGGCGGATGCGCGGCTGTATCTCTGGACGTACGCGGGTCTCGCCCTCGGCGGCATTCTCATGTGCACGCTGCGCACGATCAGCATCTTTGTGGGCGGCCTCCGCGCGTCCCGATCGCTCTTTGATACGATGACGCGGTCGCTACTGCAGGCGCCGATGCACTTTTTCGACACAACGCCGCTGGGCCGCGTCCTCAACCGGTTCTCGAACGACATGAACACGGTCGACGTCCAGCTGCCGATGCTGCTGGATCCGCTCACCGGCGTCATCTTCTCGGTGCTCGTGCAGCTCACGACGACTGTACTCGTCATCAAGGCCGCGGGCGTCCTGCTCTTGCCGCTCATTTACATTTACGTCTGCCTCGCGCGGAGCTACGTGACGCCGGCGCGCGAGATGGAGCGTGTCGCCAAGACAACCAAGTCGCCGATGCTCAACCTCATTTCCGAGTGCATTGACGGCGCGCTCGTCATCCGCGCGTTTGGCCAAAAACACATGGAGCGGTTCCAGTCGACGCACCAAGCCAACGTCGACGCGGCCAACAGCGCGACGTTTGCGAGCCAGGTCATGACGCAGTGGTTCATCCTCCGCGTGCAGCTGCTCTCGGCGCACCTCGTGCTCTTCGTGTCGATCTCGCTCGTGTACCTCCGGGGCATGCTCTCGCCCGGGCTCATTGGCCTCGTCCTCAACTACACGTTCAACATGCTGCCGTCGCTCGAGTACATTGTCTCGATCGGCGCCCAAGTCGAGACGGCGATGGTCGGCCCCGAGCGCATCGCAGAGTACTGCAGCGTGCCCACCGAGCCGCCGCGCGTGATTCCTGGCGCGGTGCCGAAGGCGTGGCCCGAGCACGGCGCGATTGCGTTCACGAACGTCTCGTTCCGGTACAAGTCGTACGACCCGCTCGTCCTCAAGCAAGTGAGCGTCTCGATCCGCGCGGGCGAGAAGATTGGCATCGTCGGTCGCACGGGCGCGGGCAAGTCGAGTCTGACCATGGCGCTCTTCCGCATCGCCGAGCTCGCGTCCGGCAGAATTGAGATTGACGGCGTCGATCTCGCATCCATTGGCGTCCGCACGCTGCGCAGCCGGCTCGCCATCATTCCGCAAAACCCCGTGCTTTTCAAGGGCTCGCTCCGGCAGTACCTCGACCCGTTTGACGAGTTTCTCGACGCCGACCTCTGGTCCGCGCTCGCCAAGGTGCACATGCGCGACCGGATCACGCGCGCTGACGGCCTCGACTCGACCGTCGAAGAGAACGGCGAGAACTTTAGCGTCGGCGAGCGCCAAATGCTGTGCATGGCCCGCGCGCTCCTTCGGCAAGCCAAGGTCGTCGTCATGGACGAAGCGACGGCCGCCATCGACCACGCGACCGACGTGCTTCTCCAGCGCGTCATTCGCACCGAATTCGCCAACTCGACGGTGCTCACGATCGCGCACCGCCTCGATACGGTCCTCGACTGCGACCGCATTTTGGTATTTGACCAGGGCCGCATCGCGCAGTGCGACAGCCCGAACGAGCTCATCTCGCTCGGCCGTGGCATCTTTTACGAGCTCTGCCAAGAGGGCGGGTACCTCGACAAGGTCCTCGCGCAAACCACGCCGACGGGCTCGCCCTCTTCGTCGTTGTCGATTTCGCCCTAGAGCCTCCCACGTCTTTTTCTAGTTTTTACGTATTTTAGTCTTATTTAACACGCGTACCACTGCACCGTGCAGTCTTTTGTGATGACACATCGATTCAAGTAGACCAGGAAGACGCGTTGTATGCACGCCAGCACAAAGCAGCGCCACCGTCTCGTCATCACGACGATAGACTCGCCACCGCACTTCGCAAGACCGCGGGTTAGGGCTAGGGCTAGGGCTAGGTCGACATGGCGGATTGGGGAACACGCTAATCATTAGCGAGCAGGAGCCCGACAAGCTCCTGGAAGTAGAGCCGTTGTGCACGGGCCGCGGCGCGCCGTCGGTACAGACGTACAGGCATCCGCGCAAGCTCCTTGAAGACAAGGCGCGCGGGTCGCAGCGATGCTGTCGGCGTCGCGCGAGCGTCGCACCGCGCTGCAGAGTGCCACGGCAGCCCATCGCGCACGCGTGGGTGCGTAGGTGCTTGTACGTGCAGCGGGTCGCTGTACCAGCGGCACTGCTGCGTGCGCTCAAAGCACGGTGCGCGGGCTTCAAGCACGTGGACGTGGAGAAGTGCGGCCTCGTAGAGCTCGCGGAAGCGGCGGGCGTGGTATTGTTCGAGACGTAGCGCCGCGCGGAGTTGCGTGTGGAGCATGTACGCGCCGGTCTGAACCCATGCAAGAGAGACGTGTAGTGCGGCGTGGTGGCAGAATGGTACCCAAGTTGGCACACCGCTTAGCGCGTGGCCGTGCACGTCGCAAGAAGATCCGCGCGGCGAAAATTCCCGGCTCCCATCGCGTCTTTGGCCGCTATGCAGAGCCAAGGGACTCGTCGTGGTTGCTGGCCGTCATGCGGCGCGCCAAGAAGCGCTGAGTCTTCGCACGCACCGAGAGTGGCACGCGCCGCCCCTCCCAATGTACGGCAACGTACGGCCAGCGTGGCGCCAACGGTCGATGCACCGGCTAGTTCGACGCCGTAATGACCGCGAGGCGACAATCGTCAACACGATATTGATGTTGCGCCAATATTCCTCCCACCGCGAGCGCCCGCCACGATATCGTCGACCTCGTCGCTTGCACCAGCGCAGGGGCGATGCCTGCCGGGGTGAGTGCATGGCGCGTGTGATATGTCGCGTGCTGTTGCTTCCTGCCTGGCCTTGCCCGCGATCCCAGCAGGTTTTGCGGGAAGATATCTATCTTTGTGATTTATATTGGAGCTTGAGCGCGCTACCCATGTCGAATATCAGAAAGCCAGACACACCCGTGGGAGTAGCTTTGTCGTGGGTCGAAGTGCCAGCGTTTGTGGCGCCGTCGTCTCCGTCGTCGTCTCTCGAAGGAATGCTGGGTGCACGCGCAGCCGCGTTCGGCCGTCGCGGCACCCGTGCCATATTGTAATATGTATACTGAAATGCGGTATTTACGATATGGATCAATATGGTCCATATCCGGGCGCCTTCAAGGCTGGGTATCCGGATACACCGCTGGTATGATTTGGGATCTTGCAGCATGGCGGCCGCGAGTGGCCTCGACGCGACGGCCAAGCCCAAGGCCCGCGGCAGCAACATCTGGGAGGAGTACTACCCGCTGCTACAGCCCCAGGCCCATCTCCGGAGCTCGGGTCCGCTGAGCAACTTCTTTGCGCCCGAGGTCGTCTGCGCGTACCAGGACGGCGTCCACGCGTACCTCGTCTCGCTCTTCTGTGTCTCGACGCTTTCGCTCACGGGGCTCGTGCTCTGCGACCTGTTTTCGCTGCCCGCAGCTTGCAGCACGGTATGCCACTTGGTCTGGCTTGTCTCGCCGGCCGTGGCCGCGATGGCGCTTCGGCGCATCGTGTTTGCCCACCTCGGCGAGGGCGGCGCGCCCATGTGGGAAGTGCCGCAGTGGCGCGATCTCTTTGCATGCTACCCGCGGTCGTCCATGGTACGGCTTCTCGTCTTGAGCTACTGCATTCCGCTTTTTGCCAAATTGCAGCCTACACGCTCACGACCGCGACGCGCATGGTCAACCCGGTACGTGCCGCCTGCCTCTTCTTGGTTCTACTGCAGACCTCGCGGCAGCCATGTTTATAGTTTAACCGCGCGTTCGTCGAGCGTGCCGAGACGGTCTTTAGCTTTGGCAACCCCGACGCCATGGACGGCGGGCTCGTCTTTTACGTGTTTTACCTCGTGCTTGCCGGCGTCTTTTGGGACCCGATCCCGCCACCGCGCTACGATCTTGGCATCGCCTTTGGCGGCCGCGCCATGGGTACGTCCATCAACTTTCGATCTTGATCGTGAACGATGTGCATGCGTAGGGTGCAGCTGGCTTCTCCTCGCCGTCGTGGAAGAAACCGGGTGGAGTGGCGCCTTGTACCCAGGTCCGACCGCTCTACAATGATAACCCTTACCCTCTGCATTGTGCTAGCGCTCGAGATCGTTTGCGGCCACAGCGCGTTCCTTGCATCGATCGCGACAGGTGTGGTCTGGGCGCTGTGGCACTGGCCGCTCATCATCGCCGAGTACTTCAATTGGATTCCGACCGGGTCGGGCTACGCTATCGTCGAGGCGCCGTCGTATGAGCTTGTGAGCGTGCTCCTCCTCTTCACGCTCCTCCTCATCGGCGCGCGCATGACCATGTGCTGGATCCAAGGCAAAACGAGCCATGCGATTTGGTCGAGCGTCGTGTACCATGCGTCGCACAACCTGTACGACATGGATATCTCGTGTCCATATCTCTCTGAATGGTCGTCTTTAGGTACATTGTGAGCGTCTTTGGGCAGCTCATGGCGCCGCTCTACGAGAAGCTCTCGGCGTTTCCGTACTTTTCGAGCCAAAGCAGCGTCTGTCTCCTCCTCACGACGTGGTTCTCCACGTGCATTCTCTCGCAGCTCTTCCGGTCGCCGTACTTTAAGCTGTTTCGCCGCAAGCGCCAGAGCTACTACAACTAGTGCGCCGATGGACACATTGTCTTTTTCTTCTTTGTCTTCTTGTCTCTTCTACATCTTAAGGCATTTCGGGGAACGGCAGCGTGTCCTTGTAGCACGTCTCAAAGACCTTCTCGACGCATTTCTCCTCCTTGCCCTGGCACATGGGGTTGTACTGCAGCGAGAGCACGGCCCGACGACGCACGCACTCCTACACCGCGTCGCGTCAACGCCAATAAGAAGGATGAGGCCGACCTGGTGCTGCTTGGGAATCGAAAAGTGGCCGCGCATGACCTCAAACTTCCAGTCGCAGTCGCCGCTGAGCGCGGCTGCGCGGATCTCGCTGCACGCGTGCTGGTCGCAATCGCGCTCCCAGTTGATATTGGCGCGGCAGTGGTCGAAGGCGTGGATGAGCTCGTGGGCGACCGTGCGGTCCATCCACTCTTGGTCCTGGATGTGGTTCTGGCACAGCACGACGGACGGCGACCCGTCTTCGTTGAGGCTGAAGCCGCCGTTGATGTTGCCGTTGCAGTGCTGGCTCTTGAAGAACGTCTTCGGGTCGATCTTGCAGCCCATGCGGTCCATGATCTCGACGAGAAACTGCACCTTGGAGCCTAGTCACATACAGCATTTGAGAGCCCGCGAGGATCGCCAACGGCGTCTACACTTGGCGAGCGACTGCGCGCGCATCTCTTCGGCCTTGGCGAACTGCGCCTGCGCCACGTCGTCGCCCGCGCCCGACGACACCATGTCCTTCAAGACGTTCTCCATCAGTCACCAAATGCCAATCCACCAATCAGAGACCGCGCGGTCCAGTGACACGGAATTTCGAGACTTCAAGACTCGACGAAATCCTAGATAGATAGATAGATAGATAGATAGATAGATAGATAGATAGATAGATAGATAGATAGATAGACCAACTCAAGGATGTCAATCGGACGGTTTTGCGATGCCCGACGGGATAGAAATGTAGATCGTGAATGTACAGACGTATCAACTGCGCTACGCAAAGAGGTCGCCTTGCTTGGTGTCCTTGGCGGCCTTTTTCTCGGTCGTTGGCTCGGGCGCTTGCAGCTCGATCGTCGAGAGCTTGACTTCGTTCTCTTGGACTTGTGTAATGTCGTCGGGCTTGAGCTCCTTGTCGCACATCGGACACGCTATCCGATCCATACAGCGCTCCATCATCGCAATCGTTTGTTAGTACCAGGATCGGCTTGGAGGTGCGCCGTAAAGTGTGAGTAGAGAGCTGGAAACTGGCAGTGGGGGCACACGCTCCAGTCTGCCTTGACCATGTGGTAGCCCTAATCCTCGATGCGGCGTGGACCCATATAAAATGGTCGATCTATCTACCGTCACGGCGCAGTAGGGAATCCAGTTCTTGCACTGAGTGCAGTCCAAGTCGACGTCGATGACTGGGTGCGCACAGAAGGGACACGGTGTCGTGTTGTCCGGCGGCTGCTCCTTGTTGGGCCGGCGCACGATGGCCTCGATCTTGCGCTTGATCTCCTTCTCGATCGAGTTGCGGTACTCGGGGCGCATGAGCATCGTCGCGTACTCGTAGCTGCTTCCTTTTAAGCCCGCGCGCTGACACTCGATGACGACCGAAATCAAAATGTTGGACACGTGCGTCGGGAATTTGGAAATGCTCTTGGCGACGCGGAGGAGCATCTTGGCGGCCGCTACGTGGTCGCCGCGCTTGACGAGCTTCTTGACAACAACGTAGCTGTGGAGCAATGTGAGCGAGTTGCGCAAGTCTTGGTTCACGTGGATCTTGTGCAGCAGCAGCTGCCGGTGCGTCTCGACGAGCACGTCGTGGGCCACCTACGCGACATACGCCATTCAACATGTTGTAGAGTAGGGCGCAGAAGACCTTGTAGTTGCCGAGCTCTTGCTCTTGGCGCGCAATGATGATGGCGGTTTTCGCCGCCTGTGCATAGTTGCCAAGTGCCATGTACAGCCGAAAGATATAATTCGGGTCCTTTGGAATCCCGTCCGTGTCGCCCATGAGAAAGTCGATGAGCGTATGCGTGAGCATGTCGTTGCGCGCCTTCCCAACCACGTCAATGGCGTTTCCGAGCTCCGATTCGCCGCACTGGAGGAAGAGCCGAAGCGCCTTGTGGTAGTTGCCACACACTTGGTAGAACTCGCCCGCCCTCGCATACGCCTGCGTCTGCTCGTAGTGCTGCGCAATCTTGAGCGCCCGATCCGCCGAAATGGCTTCACCAATAATCTACGCAGTCGTCGCGTGTGCTATTCTCTCAGAAGACGTACTTGCGTGAACGCGTCAATCTCGTTGTGCTGCTGGGCGAGCTGGAACGCCTCTTCTTCGCGGTTGGCCATGAGGAGAAAGTCGATCGCAGCCGCGTAGTTGCCCGTATCGATACAGTGCTTGGCCACCACGGACGCGCCTTCCGAGGACTTGGTCGCTTTCACGATCGCAAACGCCCGCTCGGGGCTGTTGAGGTGCTCGAGCTGAATGCGCACCACATTGTCCATGTCGTTCGCAGCCTCGTACGCGTCCGACGCCGCGCTGAACTCGCCCATCGCTTCTTTCGCCTTGGCAAACTGCGCGTGGACTTTCGGCACCGTGACCTTGGCCATTAACGGCGCAGCCTTCCCCAGCTGCTTCATTTGAATGTAAATCTGTGCCGCTTTTTCGTACTGCTGACCCTTCTCGTACAAGGCGGCAGCGTCCGAGAACTGCTTGAGGCCCTCTAGGATGAGCGCGCCTTCGTTGCTCAACATCACGTCGTTGAGGTCCGAGATGAGTCGAATGCCGCGGCGGAGGTCGCCGAGCCGCAGTGTGCAGCGCGCAATTCCAGCCATACACTGGGCCTGGATCTTCTCGGAGGCGACGACGGGCGTTCCAAGCGGGTCCATCGCATTGCATGCGTGCTCGTACATTTTCAGCGCGCCGTCAAAATCCCCCTTGAATTCGAGCTGCGCGGCATACGACGCACTGAGCTCGGGCACAAGGTGCACTGCGAGCGAGTCGGCGAGCAAGAGGGCTTGGTCCCACTGCAGCAAGTAGCGCTGCATCGAGAGGGCGGCCATGGGGTCGCAGGACGCCAAAAAGAGCTTTTGGGCTTGGTCGTACTGACCGAAGAGCATCGACACGTGGCCGGCGAGGAGGTTCTTGTCCTCGACGTGCTCGATGCGATCAAGCCCGAGGACCATGCCGGCGTCGCCCAACTGCCGGTACACGCGTTTGGAGAGCGAAATGTCGAGCAAATGCATCGCCCGGCCTACGTCCCACGTGAAACCACTGGGAATACGAACATCGTCGATTGTACTGGCGAGGGCGAGCCAGTACTCGCGGCTTTCGATCGCGACCGCCGCCTTCCATGCGTTGCTCATGCGGCACAAGGCGAGCGTTTGCTTGAAGATGGCCTTGTCCGAGTCGCGTGTCGTACCTTTCTATCAACGTATCAAGAGAGATGAGCACTTGCAGATATCTCGTGTGCATATATATACTTGGAGGGCGTCGTGGGTACCGGCCACTACGGTCATGAGCTGTCCGCCTGGCTGCTGGCATGTGAGGCTGCCGTCGCAAAAGAGGATCGCCGCGTGCCCCGACGGAATCTTGGTCGTCGCCGGCTTGATCACATACTCGCCATTGTTGTCAATGTCCATCGTGCCGAGCTGCGTGACTTCCGGGCCGTTAATCGTGAGCTCCGAGTAGACGAAGACGGCAAAGTCGCTTGTTTCGACGGCGACAAACACGGTCGGATCCATCGTGTCCCAGAGGATCGCACTTGTGGCACTCGGCATGCTCGGGATCGGGATCGCCTCGCGGTTCGTCGAGTTGAGCATGTAGCCGCGGCGGCGCGAGTCCATAAAGACGATCTTGGTGCCTTGCGTGTTGGGTGCAATGTGCACGATGCCAATGCCTTCATCGTGTCGGTAGCAGCAGCCCTCGAGCAGCTTCCACTCTTGGAGGTAGAAGAACTGGACCGTGCCGTTGCCATTCGCCGTCGAAAAGATGAAAAAATCTTTGGTGATCGCGATCGAGCTGATTTCTTGCAGCGACTCGTCGCGCCCGTGCGTCTCGGGAAACGTCTTGGACTGCTCGGCGCCTAGACCACGTTGCCGTCGATGGAGACGCATACTATCTCCTTCCGTACCGTTCGACGACGTAGGCTCGATTGGGTGCAGCAACACTTTGCCATCACTGAGCACGGCCGCGTACTCTAGTTGCATCTAAGCTCAGCGATCGCTTTCCAGGCAAATAGGTGGCGCACCGCGGTTGAGCTTGACGCTCGTGACGCGCCCGAGGTACTGCTGCTCGTTGACGAGCGCATCGCGGCTCGAGCCGTCGCAGCGGTAAAAGTCACGCGGTTGTTCATGCCGACAGCGACGTGGCGCGGGCCGATCGCGATGAACGAAGGCTCGATGGACACTTGAATGTTGATCGGACTTGCGCGCCCGAGGGTGTCGACGATCGTGAGTTCCCGCAGCGAGCTCAGATAGACGACGTAGTTGCCGACGTGGTCAAAGATGTTGACAATCCGCGCAAGGAACGTCTGCACGATGCCACCTTGGGTCGCCACCGTGAGGATCTGGCCGTCCGAGGTAAAGCTCATGAGATTGGCTTCGTTGTCCTAGCCATATCCATCTTCAAGTCCTTTCGGGTCTCATCAGAGTGCGCAACCTCGGCGTCGGAAAGCTTGACAGCGTCGCCCTTGATCTCGGTGTAGTTACCGAGGTCGATGACCTTGATGCCCGACTCGCCGCTCATCGCGACGCGGTTGAGCGCCGCCGAGTAGCACACCGCGTACGTTCGCTCCGAGAAGAAGCGCCCCGAGAATTGCTCTTCGCCGATTTCCTATGATGCATTCCATGCTTAGCACGACACAAGCATCGAGGACGTACATCGATCTGCGTCGAAATGCAAATGACAAAGCCTTCCGAGAAGGCGAGCATGAGGTACCCGCCGCCAAACCAGTCGAACGACTTGATCGTGCCATAGTGCTACAACCCATTTCGCCGTCGAAAAGACACAGTATGCGCGGGCGTACGCTCTGGAACGTGAGCTCGATCGGGTTGTCGGGGTCGTTGATGTTGAGCAAAATGAGGGACTTGGAGACGTTGATAGCGACGACATTCTCGGGCGCCTTGGGGCCACCAGGGTCGCCTTTCTGCCGACCAAACTTGCACTCGACGGGCTACACACCCCGCAAAGCGTCGCTACCCCACGCAAGCACGACGCCACGCACCGCGTACTTGAGCTCGCGCTGCTGGACCGTGTCGCCTGCGGCGTTGCTAATCGTCACCATTCTATCTTCGGCGCCGAGCACGAGGAGATCTTCGCTGTTCCAGACGCCGCATGTGATTTTCTTAGAGTGTTTTCCGAGAATCGGGACGAGCTTGCGCGTTGACTTGTTGTAGAGTACGAGGTTGCCCTTGGCCGTCCCGATCGCTACATGCAGGCTCGTGATGCATGCTAAGGTGGAGGCGCCTACCGAGCTGGATGCCGGACGACGACCACTTGATGAACGACGGGTCCTTCATGTTGGTGTCGATGTTCTGCGTCGAGCGCGTCGAGAGGTCCCAGAGCGGGATGAGGCCGTTGCCCGACTGGAGGATCGCAAGCGTGTTGCCGTCGCGGTCCCACTCGAGCGCGACGACCGGCGTCGACATGTCGAGACCGATCTCATCGTACTGGACGCCTTGCCGGTCAATGATGTGCACCAAGCCTACGCCATGATGCACATCGACCCCGAGCGACCCATGGGGCCATACCGTTCTTGCCGGCCGTCGCGAGGAAGTTGCCCTTGGGCTGCCATGCAAAGGTCACGGGCCCGACGCCATGGTACTTGGACGGAAGCTTGAAGAGGCGCTTCATGCTCTTCCGCGAAATCCGATCTTTGGCAGCCGATACAAACTGCAAGTCGGCCAGGCGCCGAAATCTTTTCCCAAAAAAGTTATCCAAAGTGTCTCCCTTTCCGATAGTCGGTCCGTACGTCCACTGCGCACTGCTGCCAATTGCGGCCATATACGCATCGCTTCTTCTCTTGCCGGTGGTTGCCTTTGGCGCTAAGCAGCTGTCGCATCGCTCACAATCAAGGATCGACTTTGTCATGGCGAGCGTCCACCATCTTGGCCTTTCCTCGCTTTGGTATCGTATGCAGGTGCGTTAAAGTGCTATATGCATGGCTAGTAGAGGGGCGATTCGCTCGTTCGCCCCTTGGTTCATGTGTACCAGTACGCTTAGCGTCGACGGGGATTAAAGATACCCACCCTCCATGAGCTGCTGACAGAGATGGCATATTGAGACGGTTTGATAGATATACACTAATATGAGATACTCGAGATAATACGTACTAGGATGGTAAATCCTGTGAAAGTGAATAAAGCATGTTGTTTGAGAGGGAATTGGCTCCTGTGTGGGGTCAAAAAGCTTTCGCAGATCGAAGGGAAAGATGGCCAAGGACGCGGTGACCGTGCAAGTACCGTCGCAAGACCCGAAGAAGAAGACGAGCGACGAGCCCGTTCCCGGGAAGCAGAAGGACCCGACGGCCAACGACAAGGTGGCGGACCCCGAGGACCTCTCGGAAGAGGACAAGCAGCTCAAGGAAGACCTCGAGATGAGCGTTGCGCGCATCTGCGACCCGGCCGAGCAGACCGGCGTCAAGACGCACGCGCTCGAGACGCTCCGCCAGCTCATCCGCACGGCCACGTCGAGCATGACGTCGGTGCCCAAGCCGCTCAAGTTCCTTCGGCCGCACTACGACGTGCTCAAGACGTCGTACGCTACGATCACGACGCAGAAGGAGCTTGCCGACATCTTGGCCGTCCTGGCCATGACGATGGCCCCCGAAGGCTCGCGCGAAAGCCTTCACTACAAGCTCAAGGGCAACTCGACTGAGCTCGGCCTTTGGGGCCACGAATTCGTGCGGTCGCTGGCTGGCGAAGTCGGCGAGGTGCGCTTGAAGTTGTCGATGATGGCCCATTTCTGATATCATTGCTCTTTGTAGGAATACACGGCGCGCGTCACCGGCCCAACGGCGCGACGGCCAAGGTCGACGACCTTATGGCGATGGTCGATGCCATCGTGCCTTTCCACATGCAGCACAACGCCGAGCCGGAGGCGATCGATATTCTCATCGAGGTCCAAAAGCTGGACAAGCTTCTTGAATCCAAGGAAATCGACGACAAGAACTACCAGCGTGTGTGCTTGTACCTCTTGGCGTGCGCCGACTTTATGTCGGACCCGGACGACCTCCAGACGTTGCTGCAGACCGCGTACGCTGTCTACATCCGCGTCGAGCAGTACCCGGACGCGCTCCGCGTCGCGCTTCGCATGGGCAGCGAAGAGCTCGTCGCCGACGTCTTCTCCAAGTGCACCAACACGGCGACGCGCCACCAGATGGGCTACATTCTTGGCCGCCAGCGCTTTTGCTTTGAAGACGAGCACGACGCGTCGGCCAACGACATGGTACGCCGTCGTATCAACGTACGATCCATGATCTCACTCCTGTGGCCACGTAGATTAGCAACACAGACTTGAGCGACAAGTTTTTGGCGCTCGCGCGTGACCTCGATGTCGTCGAGGCCAAGACGCCCGAAGACATTTACAAGTCGCATTTGAGCGAGACGGGCAGCGTGGCCCGCGGCCGCGACTCGAACGCGCCGACGGACTCTGCGCGCGCGAACCTTGCGTCGACCTTTGTCAACGCGTTTGTCAACGCTGGCTACGGCACAGACAAGCTCATGACGGTCGAGGGCAACAACTGGCTCTACAAGAACAAGGAGCATGGCATGACGAGCGCGGCCGCGTCGCTCGGTATGATCATGCTCTGGAACGTCGAGGAAGGCATTACGCAGATCGACAAGTTCCTCTACTCGGGCGACCACCACATCAAGGCCGGCGCGATCCTCGGTGTCGGCATCGTCAGCGCTGGCATCCGCAACGAGTGCGACCCCGCGCTCGCGCTCCTCGCCGAACACGTCGACTCTGGCAACTGCTCGATCCGGTGCGCCTCGTGCCTCGGCCTCGGCATCGCCTACGCTGGCTCGTCGCGCGAAGACGTCTCGGAGCTGCTAATCCCGGTCGTGTCGCACGCCGATGAGAACGCGGATATCCAAGAGGTGGCATACGCGGCGCTCGCGCTCGGCATGGTCGAGGTCGGCACGTGCGACGAAGAGGCCGGTAGCGTCATCATGCAGCGCCTCATGGAGAGCACGGACGCGGAGCTCGACTCGTCGTGCGCCCGCTTCCTCTGCCTCGGCCTCGGCTTGCTCTACCTCGGGTATATTACAAGAAGTGAGATGTGCATCGCTCATGCAACGCTAGGCGCCAAGAACGCGTCGACGCGATGCTCGAAGCGGCCAAGACCATCTCGCACCGCATCTCCAAGTACCTCTCGATCACGCTCGAGACGTGTGCGTACGCGGGTACGGGCAACGTGCTCAAGGTGCAGTCGCTCCTCCGCGAGTGCGCCACGCACTATATTGAAGACGTCAAGGAAGGCGCGCACCAGAGCGCGGCGGTGCTCGGTATCGGTCTTGTCGCAATGGGCGAGAACGTGGGCACGGAGATGGCGATGCGCACGTTTGACCATCTGCTGCAGTACGGCGAGGTGAACGTCCGTCGCGCGGTGCCGTTGGCTCTGGCGCTCTTGAGCATCTCGAACCCCGAGTACACGCTCATTGACACGCTCTCGCGCCTCACGCACGACGTGGACGCGGGCGTCGCGCAGAGTGCGATTCTCGCGCTGGGTCTGGCGTCGGCCGGTACCAACAACTCGCGCGTCGCCGGTCTCTTGCGCCAGCTCTCGGAGTTTTACAGCCGCGAAGCCAACCACTTGTTTGTCACACGCATCGCACAGGGGCTGCTGCACATGGGGAAGGGTCTCATCACGCTGCACCCGTTCCACTCGGACCGCCTCATCATGTCGCGCGTCGCCGTTAGCGGCCTCCTCGCCGTCCTCCACGCGTCGCTCGACATGGAAAAGACGATTTTCGACAACTCGCACTACTTTTTGTACTGCATTGTCACGGCGATGCAGCCGCGCATGCTCATTACGGTCGACGAAGACGGCAACCCGCTGCCTGTCTCGGTCCGCGTCGGTCAAGCGGTACGTGCCCCTATTGCCTATCGATGGTTTACGAAAGATGTGTGATTAGGTCGAAGTCGTCGGGCAGGCGGGCCGTCCCAAGTCCATCACGGGGTTCCAGACACACAACACGCCCGTTTTGCTCAACGTCAAGGACCGTGCCGAGCTCGCGACGGACGAATACCTCGCGCACACCAACGTCCTGGAGGGAGTTGTCATTTTGCGCAAGAACCCCGACTTCAAGCCCGACGCCTAAGGAGCTGCGTTCATTTGTATAGCGTCACACTTCAACTACCTACCCTTTGTGCCTGCTTGATGCTTTGTACAAACGTGAGAGTGGGAACACCTGTTTGGTTAGTCGATGCGGCGGTCGGTCTCTTAGTATCTATCGCCACTTGGCCGGCGTCACCCGGTTGCTTGCTTGGCGCACACTTGGTGGTTTGACCACGTCCGGCTTCTTTGTCGGCACTTGCTTCTTCTCGGCCCAGCCGTAGACGACCGGCGGCGTGGGCGCACTGCGCCGAGGCTTGGCGGGCGTCACGTGAATCGCTGGATTCACGGCGTTGGACGAGCTCTTGCCGCGAATCACATTTTGCACGAGCGACGCCTTGGCCGTCGTCGGCTTGGTGCTCACGGGCGACGTGCGGGGGCGCGGCGGCACCTTGGTCTTGGTCGGCCGGGGCTTTGTCGTGCTGCTACGACTTGCGTCTTCGTCGAGCTTGACGCGCTCGAGAAAGTCCCCGAGCTGGTCGGGCTTGTTGGATCCTCGGCGAGGCAGCGGTGGCTTGACGAGCAGTTTTGCATTGCGCGACGACTTGGTGTGCTGCAGGTACCGCGGGACACCCGAGGACGAGGACGATGGCGCCTCGGTGGGCGAGTGCTGCTGGTTGCCCTCGTCCCGCTTCGCCACGGCCTTGCTTGCCATAATGTGGTGGCTCGGAATCGATCCGTGGCGCGGCTTGCGCCCGTCGTCGTCCGTGTCATCTATTTGCGGCGTGAGGCGACCTTCGCCGCGTACAGAATACGAGTACACTGCTTCGCGTCGGCGTCGTGGCCAACGCCAGGATCCGAGTACGAGATGTCCCAGCTGTCGGCCGCGGGCTTGGCCGGTTCGCTCTCGTCGTCGTCGTCCGTGAGGCTCAAGTCGACGTCCTGAATCGGTCGGGACTCGACACCCCGGCGCCGAGCCGGCTCGAGAGTGTCGACCCACCCGTTGCCCTAGACTGCCGTCACGCCCCATCTGCGAGGCAGCACCATCTTACGGCCACAAGCGCGCTGTACGAGGCGCTGGGCGGGCGCTCGAGCTTGGTAAAGTCGTACTCGGGGTGCATCTTGCGCTACGTTGTTGTTGCTACCATAAGAAACGATTTGCGGACCAATCGCTACCAGGCGAGGACACGAGTCGAGCCATACAAGGCTCTTCTTGGTCTTGGCAGCCAGGTCGCGCCGCTCTCGGTCGTCGTCGTCGACGGCTCCCGCGGTCGACGCAACGTTCAAGAACGTGTTGACAAGCACGATTTCGTCCGTGTTGGGATCTACCACCCTCACGTCGAGCGGTGCCACGGACAGAAAGCTCGTACCGGTGTGGCGAGGGTCCCACTCGGAGCGCTTTTGGCGCGAAATTCGGCCCGCAAACTTGGATTGGAGCTGGCTGTCGAGGCTTGAGAGCTGCTCAATATACGCGGGGTGCACGTTGATGTCGCCGCGCTTCATCTTGACGTACTCGAAAGCCTTGTCGAGGCTCCTGCGCCGTCATGGTTGTGTGCGCTGTTGGGATATGATAGCATGCAGTACCATTGGTACTTGACCATGAGGTAGCTCATCATGACGCTCGGGCTGCGCGAGATGCCGTCCATCGAGTGCACGAGGACGCTTTGACTCTCCTCCATCGCGCTTTCGAGAAAGTCGACGACGTCCAGAAACTCTTGGCATCGTAAATCAAAGAGGAGCCCACGGCCCGACGGGTCCTCGGCCATATCGAGCGCCAAGTACCTACATGTATCGGCGTCAATCCTTTCTGAAATGCAACTTGATTCTGCCGCACTGGACGCCGTCGGCTTCAAAGACGTTGGGCATCTCGCGCGGAACGCAGTTGATGACAAACTCAATGCCGTTGAGACTCAAAAAGTCGGCGTCCTGCGCGGCGTCGACGTCGCCCATGAAGAGCCCATTGTTGATCTTGGTCGACATGCCGTCGACGAGTCGGCAAGAAACCCAATCCCGACCGGCAAAAATACATTTATAGCCCACCAAAATGGCGGCAACCGCCTCCACAGCGATGGCGGCCTAGTACGCGAGACGATAGAGCTCGCCACACTGGACCAACTCGGTGGGACAAGCAAGCTTCATCGACCAAGTCTGGCAAATTGGTCTGGCACACCCCAACCAGACATGTCAACCGTCGATTTTGGTGCTGGCCAGCTGAGATGAGATGCGTCTTGGCTGTAAAGGGGCAGCAGTGAGATACACGCGCCCAGGACAACGTCCACGGTGTGTACCAACGAGCTCTACCTCGGGCAGGTTCGGTAGCAGAATCGACGGCAGCGCACACGCGCAAGCTACTTGCAGAATCAACCGTCGAGCTGTGGCGAGTTAATCCAGTTTGTGCTCGCACGACCTCATGAATCAACCAGCGTCGACGTTGTCACAGGTGCCATGGCAACACTGCCATGGCAACACGTATAACACCTTAGCGTCCTGTTAGACGTCGAACCACGCCCCGTTAAACACGTTATCCACTGTTGTGCGACCGTTTGGCATGTGGGATGCGTGTCAAAATGCCGAAACTGCACTTTCGACTCGGCCCAGATGGCGAACTGGAAGATGCAGTGTAGCGAAGCCTGCGTTCGGTGTCCATGCGGTGTCCAATTATAGTCAAATACTCTGAGTGGTGTGTGCCAGAATGCGACGGCCGCGAGCAGCGACCGCCGCCATGCCGCGGGCGTCCTGGTCACACGGCCGGCGCTGCCACATGTGCGCAAAAGCCTTTGGCCTCCTGACGAGGCGGCACCACTGCCGGCGGTGCGGGCGCTCCGTCTGTGGCCGCCACTCTAAACACAAGGCACCGATGCTCGTCGACTCGAATATGGACGAACGCCAGCAGCAGCGCGTCTGCAATGCCTGCCACGAAGACATGACATCGTACTTCAGCGATGTGGTCGCAGCGTCACACTCGGAGGACGCGTGGCGGGCAGCCCTCCAAGCCCAAGAGCGACGAAAGCAGTCGACGGCCGCCAAGACAAAGCGTGAAGACTCGCACGGTTCGCTCTACTCGACGTTCGCGTCGGCGCCGACGATGGTCGCCTACTCGAGCATCTATCCGCCGGTCGCCGAGTCCGACGACGACTCGGACTCCTCCGAGAGCTCCGTGGACTCGACGACCTCGGTCTCACTGGAAGATATTTACGAAACCATGCGCGCGATCGGCGGTCCTTCTGTCGTTGCCGATACCGAGACGTCGTCGTCGCGCCAGACGGCCGTGCGCAGCTCCCGCGGCTCGTACCTCTCGCTTCGCAGCATGCTCGACTATACCGGCTGCGTCGGCCACGATACCGGTCGTCGAGACACGCCACTAGCCACAACCGTGTCGCTGGACGACCTTGTCCAGACGATGCGCCCAACGCGGTCGCAGCGGCTCGAGCTGGCCTTGGGGCCGTCCAGTGTCTCGGAGAGCACGCTGCGGCAGTCCGAAGTCGCGGCCCTGCGCGCTGAATATGCGAATGCCGTGGCTGCTGCGCAGGCCGAGTACGCACTGTACAGTAATGCGGTCGAAGGTCTTTTAAAGGCGCGTCGACGCGTGGCCCGTCGGCGGTTGCGGCTCCATCAGCACTCGCAAGAGGCCAAGGTGCTACATGTTGCCGCCGAGTACTTTCAAGCTCAGCTCCAGTACAAGCTCGCATTGTGCGACGATCCGACGTCGCCCGAGCTCTGGCTCGGTCTTGTTGCGTGCTTACTTGACCTCGGGCGGCTTGACGAAGCGGACGAAGCTATCGTGTGCTGCGAGGCGTGGGCGTCGCCACCGTGCTTGCCCTCCTTGCGCGCGCTCCAAGGCGACTTAGAGCTGCGCCGCCGCCACTACGATGCTGCCGTGACGCACCTCCGCGCTGCCATCGCTGCCTCGAACGTGGCGTGGTAACCGAGTCGGATATTTCTTATTTATTCTTATGCCACATGCGGGCGTCTATCTACTTGTAATCGTATTAACGCAGCACATGCGTTGCTGGCATCTTACAAGAGGTGGAGCGCGTTCTCCGCGTCCGGAATGTGCATCATCTCCATCGTGCGCTCGTAGACGAGGAAGGTCACGGCGCTCACAGGGAACGCGCGGAGGACCGTGGCTGTGAACCCTTTGGTCAAGAATCGAGGACCGTCGCGCTGGAGGTTGTCTTGAAACACACTCTGTATCGATGTCATGGCATCGAGGCGCTGGCTTTGCACGAGCGTCTTGAGCACGTCGACGGGTTGCGTGAGGATCCACGACATGGAGCCTGCGATGCCGCCTGCGAGCAGCAGCGTCATCGTCGACGCGTCCTTTCCGTCGCTCAGCATTTCCTTTGCGACTTCGTACGTGAAAAAGTACGAGCCAAACGCGGGCACGTCCCGAAGGATCGTGAGCTGCCACCCGTGGTAGAGGCCGCGGGACACGCCGTGCTGCCGTACGATCTGGCGCGCGCATGCAAACGAGCTCGAGGCAGACGTGCGCGTGTCGACTTGCATTTGAATCTTGACGAGCTCGGCCGGCGCCGAAAAGGTCACTTGGGCCAACCCAGCCAGTGCGCCGGCGAGGTACTGCTGCCCCGGCGATAGCGGCGCGTCACCCGCCAGCGCCCGCGAAGCTTGGCCGTAGATCGCAAACACCACCGCATTGATCGGCGCGTTCGACACGATTGGCGACACCATGCCCTTGTAGAAGCCGCGGAAACCTTCCTTCGCTGCAATCGAGCGGAACGCGGCGACGACGCTGCCACGCTGCGCCTGCGTCTGCAGCCGGACCTTGATCGTGTCGAGCGGGTGGCCAGCGACAATACCCGCGACGCCACCGACCGTGCCCGCGCACAGGTCCTTGACGATGTCGATCCATTCCATCGGCATGGCTCGCTCGGTCGGCCACTGCTTGCGACGTTACACCACTCGAAAAACGCCCAGTTGCATCGGCGTTTAAACAAACGCGTTATAATCGAGGTCCCGCAACACTGCTTCGCGCTGAGAAGCCTTGCGTCAAGCTGCAACGCACAGCGATCCAAGGCGTCGCAGCAAACCGACAAAGACGCCATCTTCTTTATCCGGAGAGTGAAATTCCTACGCGATAGGTTTTTCACTTTTACCTGTCGGGTAGGAATACTCCTTCGCCCGATTGCGGAATTCTTGGACGACGAGGACAACGATGGACACGACGATCCGCGCTGCCTACAAGAAGCTCCTAAAGCTGGCCAAGTCGGTGCCCCAGGAGCAGCGCGCCCAGACACTAGAGAAGGTTCGGACCGAGTTCCGGGCGCATACAGGCGCGGCGACGCCCGAGGAGTAAGCCATGCGAGGTCGCGACTGGCGCTTATACCTCGTCTGCGTAGACTCGACCAGCTCCTCCGCAAGGCGCAGTCCAAGATTAGCTACCTCAAGATCGTGACGCCTAAGAAGTCGCCGAGTACGTACGCAGCCGCCTGCGTATGGAACATGACGCTCTCCCGTAGGTCCGGGCCAAGGCAACCACTTTGTGTACAAGAACGGCCAGCGCATCGACGGGCGCGAGCTGAGCGCGGACAGCGCGACGATCAAGACGGCCGACTACAATGCGATGATGACCAAGCACGTGCAGCTCGTGCGGCGACAGCACTTTATGGACCGCAAGTGAGTCGGTTTGTTGCACTCAATCTGACTAGAGCTTGTTCTTTTCTTGGATCGCGTGGACTTTGGCACTCTGCTCGACGATGCGCTCGTCGGCCTCGACCATCTTCTTCTGAATCCGGTCGATTTGCTCGGTTGTGCGCTCGACCTCGGTGCTGATCGTGTTGGCGTGGACTTCGAGCGACGCGAGGATCTTGGAGAGCTGGTCGAGTTCGTCGTCGCCGGCATCAGTGGTCGCGCCACCTGCCTTGGACGCCGGGCCACTTGACTTTTTGTGGGTTGGCGAATTCTACAACATGTATTGCAATGAGCATGAGGGTGATGACAACAGTCGACCATGGGCGTTTGGGGCTGGTGGCTTCGCGCCGACTTGGATTTGGGCGACCCTGTCCCCTTCTTTTTGCTCTTGGAGCTGGAAAAGTAGTAGAAGAAAGGACTCGTCATCTTTTTGATGATGTTGTCGCCGCGGTCGAGCTCCGTCTCCACGTAGTCCATATTGGCCTCGGCAATATCGAGCATTTCTAGGCCGTCCATGAAGCGACATTAATGGTGGCAATGGACGCTACCTGCGTTGTGGCCCATTTCCGAGACAGTGTTGTCGCCCACGGTCCGTGCATGCTCAAGCGTCACGATCGCCTTGCGCAAAAGTTCTTCCTTGGTCTTGTTGACATTGCGAAGCTGGACCGGCGCCGACGTGAGGAAGCCCGAGGGTGCACGGTGCCCTACGCAGCAGCGTCGCTCCTGACGCTACGTGAACCAGTAGCAACACACCCAAGAGCGCGCTCGCTCGCTGGTCCACGGACGCCTGTGGCGTGACGTTTTTGCCGAGCGCATTGTGCGCCACTTCAAGCCACTGCGTTTGGTCCTTGGCCGTCTCGACATAGACGCAAAACTCCTTGTAGCCGTGCCCCGGTGCATGACCTACGAGCTTGAAGCCATACGGCTTGACACCACCGCCTTCGTCGCTGTAGTCGTGCTTTTCGATCTCGGCGAGGATGAACGATCCTTTTTCCTTGGGCTTGTCGCTCTTGTAAATCGTCTTGCTGTCGTAGTACGACACCTTGAGCGTGTCGCCGTCGAGCACCATGTAGCGGCGCCGCCACGACTTCATGACGTGGCCTATCATGCATGTCGCGGTCGCATCGGTCGGCGCTACCAGCATGTCTACCTCGCTTGGTCACATAGCCCTCGCATGACGTCTGCTTGAAATCGGTCAGGTCGAGGTTCATGGTGTTTTCGAGGGTGTAAGAACTGAACGCATCTACGATGGCTAAGAATAGCTCGTCGGCTATGCAACTGCAAATCATGCTTCGTCCGTCGATCGTATAAAGTAGGCGGCTGCCACCGCAGGAAGAGGTCACTGCCGCGGCTGGTCTACAGTCATGGAAGACGAAAAAGGGATCAGAAAGATCGGCAGTACAGCTGGAGTAGCTTGGGTATCCGCGAAATGGTCGAGATATCACTCGTCTCTCGGATGCAAATGAGGATTCAGTAGAATGACTGTCGTGGCCCTAGGCGACAATGAGGCAGCGCACGTCTGCCAGCAACCTGATGTCAAAGCCAATGTCGAGCTATCCAAGGAGGTGCATCTCATGCAGTAACGGACTGGTAGTCCTGCCTCGATCGTCTCGCAACTATTTATACTGCTCATCGAGACGTCATTCGCAAGCCATTTGTGATGCGAATCCAGCCGACGATGCCGCGTTGGTGAGCTCTTTTCTGTGGCTTCTTGCATGCTGCGCTCGGGAGCCACCCGGGAATGGTAGCTTGCCATCGGCAAAAAGACTGGGGCGTCGCCGTTCTGCATCCAAAAATTGGCCTGAAGCTAGGGCCCTGCGCCTGGAAAAGTGCAATTCGAGTGCGATGCCACGGCTCAATGGACTACGTGTTGGCAGGGGTACCTTGCTCGTTCGTGCTCCAGGGCGGCGACCACAAACGCTCCTGTAGTGTGCCCACATCCTCTGTCCATCCGCACAGAAATGCAAGGCACGCATCCTCCCGCTTCAACATGGATGAATCCTCGAAGTACTCGTACTAGTATATCATTGGGCCTCCTCTACATCCTCCTCCTCTACGTGAGAAGTGCGTGGTACCACGGGGGGATCCCACGGAAGCATCCAGCGTCGGGCGACTGCCTTTGTCTGCCGATCGCGGCCGATCGCGGCCTGGTCGGGCCATCGCGGCAAGCGCTCGTCACGTTCTTTGCACTTGCAGTTTGTATAGAACCCGATGCGTGACGCTGATTGGTCGAAAAATAATCTTTTTCAGTGCGCGACAGCTTCAACCCGCACGTTTGTATAGGACGGTGGCGAGAACCTGAGCAGGGCTCGGTTCACAGTTCCCCTTTTGCCCCCAAGAGCACACTGAAGGAAATGGCGACAATTCCGCGCATGACCATGATGCCATGGGAGAAGGCCCTCACACCGACGACGACAACGACGAGCGTGATGGGCCACACGGCCATGGAGTGGGCGACCGCCACCAGCATGAGTCACGAAGCGGCGAGCGACCTCGCGATGACCAAAGCCCTCCAAGAGCGCACCAAGAAGATGGGCATGATGGACGTGACCGGCGCCACGTCCTTGGACATTCGCTGGTCGAACCCTCGTGTGTTGACGTTGTCAAGCCCATCAGGTCAGCAGCCGACACCGACGACAAGCCCGCAAAAGTCGGCTGCGGCCACGTCGCCGGCCTTGAAGAAGGGTGTCGCGGTATCCGTGCGGCAGGGCGAGGGCCTCTCGATGGCCGCCCCGTTCATCAAGTCGCTCGACCTCATGTTGCGGTCGCACGACCTCCCGATGATCTACTGGGACGCGTCGGGTCTCTTCTTCATCATCGACGACACGCTGCTCTTCCAGAGTCAAGTGCTGCCGCGCTTCTTCAAGCACAGCAAGATGTCGAGCTTCCAGCGGCAGCTCAACTACTTTGGCTTTCACAAGCTCACAAAGACCCACTTCAAGGCCGAGGGCATCGCGTTCAAGCATGCCCTCTTTACGCGGGATCTCGAGAAGAGCGCGTACCACCTCGTCAAGCGCAAGACTTCGAGCCATGGCGAGGCGTCGGCCTTTGAGGTCGCACGGTCGCAGTGCGAGAAGAAAGGCGCAGAGCGCCATAACACCGAGCTGCAGCGTCTTCCGAGCGTCAAGGTCGAGACCACGATGCAGCTGCTGCCGACCATCAGCTCGTGGCACACGTCGTGGCCGTTTGCGGACGACGGCGCGGACCAGTGGACGCTTGCCGAGATGGAGTGGCTCCACAACATCGCCAAGGACTTCGACGAGATGCCACCGAGCTCGTTTGACGCGCCGGCGGTTGTCGTCTCGCCGTGCGGCAGCCCGTACCCCGCTCTCACGTTTTAACGCGTCGGTGCATCGTCGTTGTGTCGTTTCGTGCCGTATTTATGCCCACGGCGTGGGTTTTACTTAATTTAACGTCTACGTTTTACTAATTCCGCCCAGGTGTGTGCCATAGAAAGTACGTCCAAAAGGGTACATAATGTACCCTTGGTACGTCGTCTCAGGCGTCGCGCACACAGCAATTTCGCCGGCAGCATTATGTGCACCGCGCTCTTTGAGCTCCAAGAGTACCAGACTGACGATGGCCAGCGCCACGTGCGGCTCATCGTGCTCCACAACCGCGACGAGTGGCTCACGAGGGACACGGCGCCGTGCGCGTGGTGGGCACCGCCCGATGGCACCATCTTTGCTCGTACACCGACGACATCCTTCATCCATACCATCATTGAACTACCATAGCTCGCGACCTCATCCGCGGTGGCACCTGGATGGGCATTCGCAAGGAGAATGCGATTGTCCGCGCCGCCTTCCTCACCAACATTCGCTACATGCCGCCGGTGCATGGCAAGCTCAGCCGCGGGGTTGGACGATCGATGATGTTTCAGACTCTCATGGCGACTGGTGTGACGAGTAGAACGTGATCAAGGACTTCTTGGAGGGCACGATGAGCACGGCGAGCTACCTCAAGGAGCTCGAGGCGTCCGGGCACTTGTACCCAGGATTCAACTTGATTGTGTTTGACGGCGCGTCGCTCGGCCACCTCTGCAACTTTGTGCACGGCGAGTACGTCACGGAGAGTTCGCTTCTCCAGCCAAACGTCATCTATGGCATGTCCAACGGCCCGTTCAGCGCGCCGTGGCCCAAGGTCGTCCAGGCGAAAGAAGCAATGGCCGCCTGCGACCGGACGGGGCCGGCCATGGAGATTTGCCATCGGTTGTTGCCCATCATGGCCAACACGCATCGCATCCAGAACGAAGACGAGCTGCCAAAGACCGGTACAACCCGCGACTCGTCGTGATCGATGCCCAATCAAATGCGTTGGTTGTAGGGCACACGATCGAGATGGAGTTCAAGCTCTCGAGTTTGTTTGTCGAAACCAAGGAGCCGCATGTCGACTACTGCACGCGCACGATGATTGCTATGGTGCTCGACTCGAACCCTGCCGAAGACTGCTGCATCGTGGAGAAGGACTTGGCGCTCGCGACGCACACGTGGACGACCCGGTCGTTCGCGCTCTAGGACGATCCATCACCGCTTCGTAACGAAATGTAGCACCTCCAAAATGGTTTTGGGAAAAGCGCTTTGAGTTTGAGCAGCGAGCGGCTGAGATCGCCGCTTTTGTACAAGGGAAAGGCTTTCTCGACACACTGGCGTCTTATTTCAGAAGTCAATAAGCTGCAATGCAACAACCACGCTGGAACCCGTCTGTGAACGTGGCCTCGAAAGCCAAGCCCGCTGCGGAGTCCATGGTGGGACGCAGTCGGGCTACGTCATTGACCGTTGGGGGCCGTCGCCCAAGCGAGAAGCAAGCGCTAGCAACCTTGCGCGCAGTCTACGAGACGCACCTTGAAGCGCTGGAAGACACGTTGCGCACTGAGCACGAAGCTGCGGTTCTGGCGCTCAAGAGCCGCCTGCGCCGCGACCACTCCAAGAAGCTCATGGCGCTGGCTGCCAACTGTAGCCAGGTCACAATGCAGCGTAACCAGTACCAGAAGCGAGAGGAAGCCTACGTGCGCCGCATCGTAGAGCTCGAGTTCAAAAGTACCGTCCAGCGCGAGGCCATCCAGCACCTCCAGCGCACGCTCGACCAGATCCAAGCGATGGCCACAACCAGTTCGTAGCTGCTCCAAATCTTGCATGTCATCGACCCCAACGCCAATTTAATGTCAGCACAAAGAATATAGTCGTTCTTGCGTCTTGATGTCGTCGTTTGAAGGTCGTAGCAGAGCAACCACCTCAAAAACTGGTGTTGTTGCGGCGTCAAGCTCGATCATGTCACGGGCGACTAGAACACACTACTTCCGTGAATGCACACTATTTGGAAATTGGATCTTGTAGCCGGAGAAAAGCCGGAGCCGGATACGGGCCCAAAGCCTTCCAGACCACAGAAGCTTTTCAATATCGAATTTGACAGGTTCGAAGGCCGCCCCGTCGTCGTATCTAACACGCAAAATACTTGCCTCGACCGATGAGCAGCAACCCTCCGCCCCCCGCGCCGACGCCCAGCCAGCACTCGATGGGCGACGAGGACGACTGGAAGACGGGCCTTAAGGCCCCTACGAAGGACACGCGCTTCCAGACCGAGGACGTCACCAACGTCAAGGGTACGCGACGACAAGGCGATGGATATGCGCAACATGCATGTAGGCAACGACTTTGAGGACTACTTCCTCAAGCGCGAGCTCCTCATGGGCATCTTCGAGAAGGGCTTTGAGCGCCCGTCGCCGATCCAGGAAGAAGCCGTCCCGATCATCCTCGCAGGGCGCAACGTCATGGCGCGCGCCAAGAACGGGACCGGCAAAACCGCGGCCTTTATCATCCCGTGCCTCGAGAAGACGGACACATCCAAGCCGTACATCCAAGTGATGATCCTCGTCCCGACAAGAGAATTGGCCCTTCAGACCTCGGCCATTGTCAAGGAAATCGGCAAGCACATGGGCGTGGAATGCATGGTACGCGCCTTGGCCTCACCGCTTTGTTGACACGCCATCCATAGGTGAGCACGGGCGGGACAAGCCTCAAGGACGACATCATGCGCTTGTATAATACCGTGCATATTTTGGTCGGCACCCCGGGTCGCATTATGGACCTGGCCAACAAGGGTGTCGCGGACTTGAGCAAGTGCTCAACCGTGATCATGGACGAAGCCGACAAGCTCCTGTCGCCCGAGTTCCAGCCGCTTCTCGAACAGCTCGTGAACCACACGGCACCGGGGCGGCAAATCTGCCTCTTCTCGGCTACGTTCCCGGTGACCGTCAAGGCCTTCAAGGACAAGTACATTGAGAACCCGTACGAGATCAACTTGATGGACGAGCTGACGCTCAAGGGTGTCTCGCAATTCTACGCCTTTGTCGAGGAGCGCCAGAAGGTGCACTGCCTCAACACGCTCTTCTCCAAGCTCGACATCAACCAGAGTATCATCTTTTGCAACTCGGTGAACCGCGTCGAGCTGCTCGCCAAGAAGGTGACGGAGCTCGGCTTCTCGTGCTTCTACATCCACGCCAAGATGAACCAGGCCCACCGCAACCGCGTCTTTCACGAATTCCGCAACGGCGCTACGCGCCACCTCGTGTGCTCGGACCTCTTTACGCGCGGCATCGACATCCAGACCGTCAACGTCGTCATCAACTTTGACTTCCCCAAGAACTCGGAGACGTATCTCCACCGCATTGGCCGCTCGGGTCGCTTCGGCCACCTCGGCCTCGCCATCAACATGATCACGTACGAAGACCGGTTCAACTTGTACCGTATCGAGCAAGAGCTCGGCACTGAGATCCGCCCGATTCCGCCCGTGATCGACCGCAACCTCTACTGCAAGTAGAGACCCGAAGAAGACCCCTCGATAGTGTTAGGAGCGTAGAGTTTAGGACGACGAAGATGGAGACCATTGAAAGAGATGGGGAGTATTAAAGAATAAAAAACAAAAAAAGCTGCCAGCCTGGTGGCACCAACGTCGCGTCTTCGTCGTTCTCTTCTCCACGACGTCATCGTCACCAGCGTTGACAGTCACCTTCACCCTTGACCGAACTACAATCAGCGGCGCGGAGTTTGACGCGAGGCGTTGCGTTTAACGTCCGGTATATCTCCCCTTTAACGTATATCTCGTGCGTGTCGCATAAAACGCTCGGTTCCGCAGGTCGGTTTCGGCGGCCAACAGACAGCAGAATCGCGTCCAACGAGGACGAGCATGGGCAGCCTTCGCGAAGCCTTTGTGACCGAGAACCAGCCCGAAACGGACGACGATACCGAGGCCTTCAAGCGCGCCATGTGGGCGGGCCAGGCCAACGTCCTCGTCGCGGTGCGGTTGCGCCCGCAGCTCAAGCACGACCGCGACCGCGGCGAGATCGTCAAAGTGCTCGGCAACAAGGTCGTTGTCGTGCTCGACCCTGGCAACCAAAAGGACGTGGTCGGCAAGATGCGCCACCGGTCGCGCGAGAAGCGGTATGCGTTCGACTACGTCTTCGCGCCGTCCGACGGCCAGCGTACCGTGTACAACAACACGACCAAGTTCCTCGTGCATGGCATTCTGCAGGGCTACAATGCGACCGTCTTTGCCTATGGCTGCACGGGCGCCGGCAAGGTACATCGAGCGTTATCATCGAATGGCGACGTCACTTGGATTAGACGTATACCATGCTGGGCACGCCGGACGAGCCAGGCATCATGGGATTGACACTCGAAGACCTCTTTGAACACATTGCAATGGCCCACGCCCGTGTGCCAGCGCTGGTATGTGCGAGATCGGCGCTCAACGTCTTGATCGACGGCTGCTAGGTGACGTACCGCGTCACGGTCTCGTTCCTCGAGGTTTACAACGAGAACATTCGCGACTTGTTGCGGTCCGACCCAGAAGAAGACACGTACTTGGACTTGCGCGAAGACCCGGTGCGCGGTCCAATCGTGGCCGACCTCTCGGAGGTCGTCGCCTCGAACGCCGACGAAGTCATGCGGCTCCTTCGGCGTGGCAACAAAAACCGGTCCCAGGAAGCGACGGCCGCCAACGCTGTCTCGTCTCGGTCCCACGCCGTGCTGCAAGTGTCGGTCGAGCAAACCGAGGTGACGCCGGACACCGTCTCGGTGCTCAAGGCAAGCTTGCGTCCACCGTACGCATGCTCATTTGTATCTAGACGGGGAAGCTCTCGATGATCGACTTGGCCGGTAGCGAGCGTGCTGCCGTGACCCAAAACCGGTACCATATCAGAGCTCTCTACATCGTACTTACTGACAATGTGAATTCCCTAGCGGCCTGCGCCTCTTAGAAGGCGCCAACATCAACCGATCGCTCCTCGCCCTCGGAAACTGCATCAATGCGCTCGGCGAGAAGGCCAACCGCGGCGCGTTCGTGCCGTACCGTGACAGCAAGCTCACGCGGCTGCTGAAAGATTCGCTGGGCGGCAACTGCCGAACGGTCATGATCGCCAACATTAGCATGTCGGTGTTGTCGTTCGAAGAGACGGTCAACACTCTCAAGTATGACGCAGACGTGGTTCCAGAGACTGATGACGTGTACTGTGTAGGTACGCCAACCGCGCCAAGAACATCAAGACGACCGTCACGCTGAACGTCAACCACCACATCTCCGAGTATGTGTCGCTCATCGCGAACCTGCGGCAAGAGATTACGAACCTCAAGACGCAGCTCATGCAGCAAGGCATTCCGTCGCCGTCGGCACACGACCTCAAGCGGAAATCCGGCAAAGAGAACCAGGACGTGGAAGGCGTCGCGATGACGTCGACCATGCGCGAGGTAGAAGAGATGCGATGATCTTGCATGGCACGACGGACGTGTAGGCGCGCGTCCAAATCATGAAGTACTTTCACGAACGCATGCAGCTCCGGCGGCAACTGCTCGAGCTCGAAAATAAGAACGTAGCCAAAAGCATCGAGATTGGCCAGCATCAGCTGGTTGTGGCCGAGCACGAGCGCCAGCGTGAAGAGAAGGAGCACGAGGACGACGAGTCTGGAGACATTGGCCGCGCGCGCACTGACATCCATCGGCTCCAAGACGACATCAAGGACCTCTCGGAGGAGAAAGCGGATCTCACACGCAAGCTGCGGCACACGGAGAAGGCGGCAGACGAGTTTCGGTACGCCTCGCGCTCATTGTTTGTCGTCAAGTCATGTTGCGGTCGTATCGTTAGGGCGGCGTTGGAGCACAGCATAACAAGCGATGAGAAGCGAGAGCTCCTGCTCATGGAGTACCGCATCGGGAAGCTCGAGCTGGAGAACATGGAGCTCGAGCAAACACGCACGGTACAAGAGACGCTTTCGCGCGGCAAAGACCTGACGATCGAGAAGCTCAAGCTCCAGCTGCGGGTACGACGCATCTTTTCTCATATATATATACTGATACATTGATACGAAATCAGCTCCGCGACAATATCATTCAAAAACAACAAACGATTCTCGACAAGCACGATATCGGGCATGAAGTGAGCTACGGTATCCTCGATACGCTCGAAGACGCGACGTTGACCGACGGCTTCGACACGCTCCGGCTCTCGATGGAGCGCATTTCGTCGCCGTGCACGGTCGGTCGCCCTGGCACAGACCCCAAGCCGCCGCCGCTTTTGCCCGACATATACGCCAAAGTACACCCGTCAACGGACGACGCCAGGTCGTCTCGCCACCAGTCGTTTGCGTTCTCAACGCTCCAGCAGCATCTGGACAAGAGTGTCGCGATCAAGCCGTCAGTGAGTAGCTCGCGCTGCGAGGACACGCCGCTGAAAGCACGACGGGACGTGGCTCTGCCGAGCATTGTTGTGCGCAGTAAGAAGACGACGGCCACAAGCGCGACGGCGCCGTACCTGCAAGTGCTCAAGCATCGGCGAAAGAAGAAGATGGGTGGACGGGATTTTGGACCGCTGCGCCATGCCACGTCATAACACGATATAAATGCGATGACAAAATGGCTGGATTGCGTTACGATAAAACATCGTCTTAGAGCCACGCTTGGAGGGCTGCAGCGCCGTCAGCGGAGACCTTGTCGGCGCCATGGAGGTCGATAACGTCGCCGTTGGGCGACACGACCACAAGACTCGGGATGCCGCCGACGCGATCGGTAACGCCAACGGCCTCCTTTTCCTTGCCAGCGCACACGCCATACTATTCAACTCATCCATACATACATGTGGAGCGGGATGCGGTATTACCTTGCGCTTGAGCTCGTCGCGCAGCGGGTCGGCGAACGGGATCATGAGCCACGGGCCATGCTTTTCGCGAAAGTGCGCCAGCTGGTCGGCCTCCGTCGCGTCCGAACCGACAAACACAATGTCGAGCTCATGCGACGTCGCGTTCACCTGGCGGTAGAATTCGTTGAGCGTCGGCTGGAAGTCGCGGCAGTCCGGGCACCAGTCGGCCTACATGCAGTGTATAGACATGAGCTTCAGCGTGGCGTTCTGCGCATGGACGAACGGCGAAGTAGAGCGCGAGGGTCTTGGCGACGGGCTCCTTGGCGGCGCCAGCGGCCGTCACGAGCGTCGTCGGCTTGAGGAAGTGTGCCATGCTGCTGTGGGAACGAAAAGGCGACTGGCAGCATATCCGGATAGTCCCCAGCGGTCCAATTGCGATGGGCTAAATATACGCACCGCGATGTGATTGGCTGAGATCCTCAAGGTGAGTGGAACGGGCATGATGGATCCGAGCCTGGGATTTTAGCCAATCGGATGCGCTCAGAAGATCTTGGTCACTTGCGGCGAAAACTTTTGGGGCTTGCAGCATGTTGAAGCACATGCGTTAATCGCACGCAACTTTGGCTCCCGCGCACGCCTTGAACCTCAACGATCGATACTTCTGTAGCTGGTACGAGTAAGCTGGCGAGCGTAAAAACCTTGGTCAATATTAGGAACCAGTAGTCTCGATCGCTGAAGTATCGTCTTGCATTGCACTGCGGCGTAGCAGTGTTGGCATTGCATTACGCGAGTCCACCCTCATCGAGAGCACTCTCTTGGTCTACCTTCATCAGTTGCCAAACATGCGAGGTGTCCAGCCATGAGGTGTAAGGTAACTTATTGCTTGCTGACGAAATAGCAGGATTGCTACTGCCGTCCCGTGTTCGATGGTCGCTCAAGATGGTCATGAAATGCGTTGGATTAGCCTCCCGCATGGGAGCTCTATCGTATGGCCAATCAAATGCGAGCGCGGGCTCGAATTCGCTTAAATCGTACGCGGCTCGAAACGGACATTGGGTATGTATAGCCAGCAAGCGTCGGCGAGGGTCGTTTTCAGTTGGTGATTGCGTGAAACGGAGCAGCGGGGCATGGCGGCGCGCCCGAACGATCGCCGGCGGAAGCTCACGGCGCTCAAGGTCGACCGCTACGACGGACAGTCCATATTTATCGGCAACGAACTGCGCTACGAGCTCGGCGGCTACCTTGGTGGCGGCACGGCCGGCGTGTACGGCGCTCCTTGTATGACCGGTGACGTCGTCTCATGGCTCTTCCTAGCGTCTACGAGGCCCTCTGCTTACAGAGCGCCAAGGTACGCGGTCGCTCCTCTTGCATCGCGATAGCTCATGGCCTTGCATGCAGCATGTGGCCATCAAGATCCTCAACCCGATCGGCTACAAGCTCATGCCGACGTCGTTGCTCTCTCGCTGCGTTGTCGCGATCAAAGGGCGTCAAATGGAACCCGAGGTCGCAACGGGCCAGCAACCCATGCGCAACGAGTACGAGGCGTCGCGGCGATGTGGTGCTCACGGCCTTCGTAGGCATGTGTGGTGGCTCGTGCACCAGTCGTCCAAGCAAGCTATCGCGGCCTACGAAGACCCGCGGTCCGGCGCGTTCCGCGAGCTCACGCTTCCACGTTGCATCGAGGTGTGGGGAATCGACTTTGCGTTTCCTGCCAACGACAAGGAGCCCGACGTGTTTGCCAACGGTACCACCCCTTGCACGATATCTTTCTCACGACGGCGATGACACTAGACGTTGAGAGCTACTGCGAAGTGAACGTGAAAGGCCAGGTGTACCAGATCCCGAGAATGCCAAAGAAGTTTGTCAAGTTTGCCCGCAGTCGCAGCTCCATCTACCGGTACAAATGCTGCATTCGGATTATTTCCGTAGCACAAAGCGTCGATAGGGAGATCTCCAACATGTCGAGTCTTGGGACACACGTCAACGTGCTCCGACTGGACGAAGCACTCGAGTTACACCAAGACAGCAAGTGCACGATCTTCCTCGTACTCGAGCTCGCGGCCGGCGGCGAGCTCTTTGATCGTATCAAGCTCGACTGCGGCACGGACGAGCCCACGGCGCGGCTCTACTTCAAGCAGCTCATCTCGGGCATCGCTTTCTGCCACGGGTCGGGCGTGTGCCATCGCGACCTCAAGCCCGAGAATCTCCTTCTTGCCGACAATGAAGAGAATTCGACGCTCAAGATCGCCGACTTTGGTCTCTCGGCGATTTTCTCGATTGCGGACGACATTGGGTTTGCTTCCATTCTCTGCAAATCTCCTAAATGTGGCATAGGAATGGCAACACGGGCCAGTCAATTCGCCGGTTGCGGTCCGTGGTCGGGTCGCCGCACTACGTCGCACCCGAAGTGCTCCAGGACACAGGCCAAGGCTATGATGGCGCCAAGGCCGACGCGTGGTCAAGCGGTATCATCCTCTACGCGATGCTTGCAGGCAGCTTGCCCTTTGGGAAGGACCTCCTCAAGTGCATCCGGTACGAAAAGTTCAAGAAATGGTCGTTTGTGACCAAGTACAACGACGACGCCGAGGACCCGGCGAACGAGGTCGAGTTCCCCGAGTGGTTCTTCCCGTCGCACTTTTCGCAGGACGCGAAGTCGCTCATCGCACAGCTCATCTATCCCGACCCGTGCCTCCGCCTCTCGGTCGACGAGGCCATGGGCCATCGCTGGGTCATTCTGGAGCAACAAAAGAGCCCTGTCTTGGTGGCGCCTGAGCCACCGAGCGCCGATCTCAGTCCCGCACTCGCCACGCTCAAAGTGAGCCCGCTCAACCCGACGCTGTCGTCGACCGTGCCGCGCAAGGATGCGACGTGGGCGGGCTCCCACATTGTCCGATCGCACAACAACGTCGCGGGTGGCAGCGGTGTGAAGGCCACGACGCTACTCTCAGTGAACTCGCAACTGCCGTCGATGGCCGCGCCGTCGCCGAATAAGCCGAACCTCTCGATCCAGCCGCGGGCACTCGTGCATCCTGGCTACATGCCACCTTTGGACGAAGGCACGCCCGCCAACTCGCCGCGCCCTGTTGTCGTGTCGAGCAGCTGGTGTCGCCGTTGCGGTCGCGGCAACTGCACGTGCGACCACACGTGGAACCCCAACCAAACGCTCAAGCAGCAGCAGCAACAACAGCAAGTGCCGAAGGAGTCCAAGGAGGACGACCAGCGCGATGCATTGACGCCGGTGACGCCACTCCTCGACGGCCTCGACGGCGACGCGTCTGCGTTCGAGCCGTTGTCGCTAACGACGTGGTAAGGATGTGCGCAACCATCCATGGTGCTCTAAAGTATATCAACCAATATAGACTTTATATCTTCGTATTGCGCTCGCCAAAGATGGTTCGCGCGTTATTTCAAGCAAAGTCGAGATCAAATTACGAGCTCGATACCTTCGTTTCAGTATTTGGATCGTACAATGCAAGCATCGCGACGACCAGCTTAGTTGACTAAATAATCCCTGGAGCATTCCTAGTACCTTGGTGCAAGGGTCTGTTTAGAGTATTTTTCAATCCATACGCAATCCGCTCAAATATTATCAAGTCATACTCATTTCATGACCAATATTATCAATGCATACTCAACGCATCTGATTGGCCAAAATAGACCAAATAGTCAACTCTGATTAGACAATACTCAAATAATCCAAGGAGCCTAGCACAGTCGCTACAACCCAAATAGTGTTAGCCAATACCAAAAAATGCAAATAGAGTATTTCCGACCGTTAATAGTGTTACATAATACAAAAAAACGCAAATAGAGTATGTCGGACCGCCGTTTCAATGTGGGGCTCAAATTTCGAAGTGAGACCGACCATCCCAGACAACTACTAGTACGATGCAGCGCGCGAAGCCCGTCGCCCAGCCGCCGACTGTTGGTCAACAGATGCTGCGGGGACAACTTGCGAGTGCCATCAAGGACTTCGCTCTAACGAACGGATTCAAGGTCAATCAAGACGCCCAAGCCCGGTACTTGCCCTCATGACACACACGACTCGAATGACCATCAAACGCTCTCCATAGGCACTGTTGTGAACGGAGAGTCGGTCAAGAACAGCGGCACGGCCGTGTTCTATGTGTGCGATGATCCCAACGATGCTCCCCGACCGTGCGGGTGGTTCGTGCACGCCCGCGCGTCACGCACGGCGGAGGCACCAAAAGGAAGCTACGTCGTGATGGGTACTATGCACCTACGTCCTGCAAACAAGTACGACATCGGTGCTATGAATAGAAGTGAATCTCCAGCACGCGAGCTCTTGCATGTCCATGGGCAGAGCCTCTGTCAAACAAGCCGTGGCCATGCCAAACGACGCCAGATCTTACGCCCCACGCCGCTGCGCTGCTCAAGGCGCAGAAGGACATGGCGGAGGCGTACTTTGTGCGGGAATCCAGCTCGACGATACTCGTCGTCTACGTCCCCGCAACATTCGTCGAAGGTCGCGAGGTCAACATTAGTGCTCGTTCCTGCTCTTGCGGGTACCCAGAGCAAATGCACCTGCCTTGTCGCCACGTGATCCGCGCCCTCAAGCATGTCGGTGAGCTTCATCGCATCGATGAGTGCATTCACCCGATGTACAAGTTCGCGAACTACAAGCTCGCGGTCGACCGTGTCTCGTATCGCCTGCCGATCTTCGCCGAACGATGCGCGGACCCCGACGTCACGCTGCTACCTCCCCTCGTAACGAAGAGCAGCGGTAAACCTCGCACCAACCGCATCGCGAGCTCCGGCGAGTCCGGTACCAAGAACAAGACGTACCAGCACCACGCTCCCTCGACGAAGAAAGCGTACAAGTGCAGTTCGTGCGGTGCAACGGACCACAACGCGAAGACCTGCGGCAAGAAAGGGCGGAAGCTTGTACCCGCTCGCTCGGCCGGAAGCTGTCTCTTCAAAGACATTCCGGCTGCCTGTGACCGTATTCTTATTACGGAGCTGCTCAACCCGGACGACGACAGCGACAGCGACAGCGACGACGTCGATGATTCCTGCGAAGTCGACGAATTCGGCTTTGCCGTGGGAGGCCGCGGGATTGCTGACGTCGAGCAATGAGTCAGCAATGTATGGCACAGCTAGATAATGCACAAAGTTTTTATGTTTATGGTGTGGATTGTTGTCTGGGATGGTCGGTCTCACTTCGAAATTTGAGCCCCACATTGAAACGGCGGTCCGACATACTCTATTTGCGTTTTTTGGTATTGGCTAACACTATTTGGGTTGTAGCGACTGTGCTAGGCTCCTTGGATTATTTGAGTATTGTCTAATCAGAGTTGACTATTTGGTCTATTTTGGCCAATCAGATGCGTTGAGTATGCATTGATAATATTGGTCATGAAATGAGTATGACTTGATAATATTTGAGCGGATTGCGTATGGATTGAAAAATACTCGTCTGTTTATCGACCCTCTGATGGCCCAACTGCGCACGTCCGCAGCTGCAGGCCCGTCTAATCGAAAATGAACCAATTGCATGCGTGTTTTAGTGATATTTTGGCCAATCGGATGCCATACCTGAGGCCACTCGGGAATTTTCCACCGCAACGATGACTGGCATGACCTCGTCGATGACCGCTGCGGCGCCACCGGCCGCTGGCCGCTCGTTCTTGGCAGCGCCCACGGCCGCGACGCCCGGCGACGAGAGCGAAGGCGAAGACGAGTACCAGGAGCGGTTGGCGCGGCGCTGGTCGTGCAATGCGATCCGGCTCAAGATTCAAAAGTTCCTCGCGACCAAGGTCATGACGCAGACCGCGTTCCTTAAGGCGATTCGATCCAACGCCAACTCGTACCAGCGCTTCATGAAGCAGACGGGCGTCAGTGGCGGCAGCGGCAACCAGACGTATTGGAACTCGCTTCCGTTCTTTGACGAGCTCGCGAAGAAGGAAAAGAAGGAGAAGGCCGACGCCAAGAAAACAGGCGCCAAGCGCAAGGCGGATACGACGACCGACGAAGCGCCGCGTGCCAAGAAGAGCGCCAGTGGTTCTGATCGTCTGGCAGAAATTGACGCGGTCGAGCTCGACGAAGACGCGCCCGTGTACGACGACTGCGACGTTGTGCGGGACCACTTGCAGCAGTTCTTCCTCGCGAAGGAGGCCAGCCAAGTGAATCTCGCCAAGCACCTCGGCTTCTCGATCACGCCGCTGCGGAACTTTCTCATGAAGAAGGGGCGACGCGAGGGCAGCGGTAGCGCCGTGTATGGCGCCGCGTACCGGTTCTTTGAGAAGCGGCGGCTCCTTGACGGCGTGCCCAAGTCGGCCAAGCGACTCAAGATTGAGAAAACGCTGCCCGAGGGCTACCCCTTGAGGAAGGACCCGACGCACTACTACCTTCTTCCTGGCGAGGAAGTGCCCGTGCTGCCCTATTAGCATCCGTGCTGAACGGCACGTAGCAGCTCATCGAGCCGACTGACACATACATGTAATACAACGAATCCGACACTTTCAACACCCTTCATGCTGCGGTTGCAAATGAAGAGCGTGCAGGCACGGAACATTTTGGTTTGCTGCGCAACACACCGGACGGTGCAAGGACGACCATGGTTGCTGCCACAGGTTCATCACTGCTTGGAAGGGCGCGTGGTCTGTGACTGCTGACCTTTCCCGCCGGCGCCAACCTCAACAACCGGATGCCATCCGCTTACCGGTACATGGAGACACGAGCATTGCAAATGACAAGCGCGACAACGACAAAGACGACGGGCGAAGCCGCCGACCAGGTGCCGGCCGGGCCCGCGCTCGTGTTGAGCGCCAGCGAAGAGTCGGACGACCCTGATGACGAGAAGTACGATTTGATGCTGCGCGAGAAGTGGTCGTGCAATGCGATCCGGTCCAAGATTCAAAAGTTCCTCGCGACCAAGGAGATGACGCAGACCGCGTTCCTCAAGGACATCGGCGCCAACAGCAACTAGTACCAGCGCTTTATGAAGCTCAAGGGCCCTTACGGTGGGTGCGACAACTCGACGTACTCTGGCTCGCTGCACTTCTTTTACCAGCGCGAGAAGAAGGAGAAGAAGGCCAAGGCCGCCGCCAAGAAGGCCGCACCGAAGCGCAAGAAGGCTGCATCGAACGATGACAGTGAAGACGAAGCGCCGTTGGCCTCGGCCAAAAAGGCTAAGACGACCAAGCTCTCGGGCGCGGACCGTCTCGCTCAGATCGAAGCCGTCGAGCTCCCCGAGAAGCTCCATGTATATGACGACTGCGACGTGGTGCGCGACCACCTGCAGCAGTTTATCCTCGCCAAGGAGTGCACGCAAGTGGCGCTCTCAGCGCATTTGGGCTTCTCGGTCGCCTCGCTGCGCAAGTACTTGGCGACGCACGGGAAGCGGGAAGGCAGCGGCAGCATCGTGTACAAGACCGCGTACTTCTTCTTTGAGAAGCTCCGCCTCCTCGAGAACAAGCCCAAAACGAACAAGCGACTCAAGATGGAAAAGACGATGCCCCAAGGGTACTCGCTCGAGCGCAACAGCAAGTATGGCTGGGTCTATTGCCCGTAACTCGATTCAATAGTTGAGATGGCGCGGATGTGCCGCATCGAAAGCATTTCCTCATTTAACATTTCCGTTGCCTGCTACATGTCCCACCAGCGACCGCCATGCGTCCTGTTCACGCCATCGTTGCAGGACGCCCGGTCACCCAGGGGGGTCGCCCGAAACCCACGGGTTGACCCACCAGGTCGGCCGCCCCCCGCCCCCCATACATCCCTATTTGTAAAAAAACCCGCGGGTCTGTGGGGCCGGGGGTCGATTTGGCCAATCACATGCGTCCATTCTCAAAGCAGCCAATCACAGCAAGCAACGTCTTTTGCTACCGCTCCCGTGCCGTATATTAGCAGAGCAACTGGAGACTGCTGCCGGTAGAGGCTGCTGGAGCTGTGTGGACGGGGACCTTGCATCCTACGTCTCGAAGATGGAGGTACGCAATGTACGTATTGATATTGTACACTGACGCCTCGATAGCAATCATTTGACGCCATGGCAAACAACGGTATCAAAGACGAGCGTTCCAAGGGCGGCCACATTGCCGGGTACGCCGCGTACATGGGCTGCGTGTACGGTACAATATCGGAGCTCCCCTCTGTGCGTGACCTTGCCGACAACACTCTCAAGCTACCTCTTCTCGACGCCCAAGACGGCGTCCAACATGCACCAAGCCGCGCTCCGCTACTAGTACCTCTGGCCTGTGCTCCGCGCCTGCGTCTGGTTCGACGTCTGGCGAGTCCGGAACGATTGCGTCTTTCGTGCCGACCTACCGCTGCCAAGTCTATGGACTATTGCCGTCAAGGTGGCGCGTGTCGCTCAACTGCACGTGCACCACAGCCTCGTACAAGAGCCCGAGCAGCCTGCTCTTCGTCGGCTTCTCCGGCTCCTCACCCAACACGAGTGGCCGCGACGTCATCTTGTCCCGCGGATCGCGCTCCTGCCTTCGCCTGCCTAAATCAAGTTTCTCCACCGAGTGTACACAACGAAGAATAAGTCCGACAATTCCATCTAGCATAGTTTATCTATTGTAATAGACCACCCACTACAACAACAATAGCGGGGCTCGACGATGGAGTCTACGTCGACTACACCCGCCCCGTCAACCACCATCTCGAACTGGCGCTGCTCGAAGTCGTCAACCACGCCTCGAGCACGATGGCTGATATCCTCAAGGACCGGGACGTGGGCATGGAGGCTGACGGCACTCCAGTTTTCATTCGACGTTTCGACTCACTCGCGGATCTTCCCACGGCTTTCGGTGAGTTTGGTGTCCCGAGCAATCGTACCAAAGGTACGAAAATCTTTTCTGTGAACGTACATAGACAATGGAGCCTCGTTGGTCCAGAAGTTCCATTCGAGGACGAGACGCAAATCGACGAGCTTTTAAGCGCCGTGGCAGCGTTCCAAGCTGTTGATCTCCCGGAGGTCCAAATTCGCTTCGACGCCAACGAGGTCAGTCTTTCCAAGGTCAGCCAGTCCCCCTCGATGAGGGTAGTCTCTGGTACCTTACTTCCATAACCCTTGCTTTCGGTACAATCATGACGTAGCCCTTCAAGTGCCTTCGGTTCTGACACTCTTCGAGGCCACGTCCAACTGCTTGCGTAACTTACAGGCGAAAGAGAACGGTGTGTGATGTGCTAGATGTCATTTCGTGACGCCAATGTAGGGTCGGCGAACGTGGAAGCCAAGTTTAAATCGCTTGCAGGAAGATGGTACAAGAAGGCTCCGAAGCTGGTGGAGACTCCGATAACGTCGGCCATTCTCAAGAGGAGCGTCATCGTCGAAACCGCGAAGGGTCGGTATCGGCTCCTCTCCGTGTACGTCAGTCGTACAACAAGTGGCGCGTCGAGATGTCGGCCAGCGCCACCAAGACCACCATGATCCATGCGTGTGGGGTCGAGTGGGACACCTTCCAGCACGTGCTCAAGAGCAACAACGACTGCGTCTCCTTTCGCGGTGACGAAGCAAAGGCCGTTTTTAACGCCGCTTGAATGTTAGATATCTCCATTGTACTCCGTGTTTGTACTCCATGATTGTACACACGCAATGCAACAGGACGCCGGTCACCCTGGGGGGTCGCCCGAAACCCCGACCCTCCACCTGAGGCTACTTTTCTACCCGCGGGGTCGCCCCAAAACCCGTAGGACCCCCGAAATTTAGACCCGGCTTTTGTAACAGATACATGGGTGACCGGGCGTCCTATCGCTGCCATCGTGGCGGGGCTGCTTGTCAGATCGCCATGCCTTAGCGCGGTGGTATTTTAGCCAATTAAGTGCAACGGGACGATTAATAGCCAATCACAGACAGCGCCGACGTTCCCTCGCTCAAAACAGCGCCAATCCCAACCAATCGCATCTGTTTGCTAACCGGCAGATCAACCGATCGACGTACAATCGCCATGGCAAGCGGGACGACAGAGGTGGCTCCGCGCCAGCGCCCGACGCTCGAGTATCTGCGTGGGAAGCGGGATGACCCGAACGACGAGGAGTACAAGGCCATGCTCCGAGCTAAGTGGACGTGCCACGTCATTCGCCTTAAGATCCGCATTTTGCGCGCCCGGGGAACCGTGACCGAGGCCACCCTCATCACGCGCATGGGCACGACCCGCCACGCGTACGATGACTTCATGGCGCTCACCGAGCCAATGGATGGCGCCGACAATCCGACGTACGCCGGCGGTTTGCACTATTTCTACCAGGCCGAGAAGGTGGACGCGGAGATGCGTGAGCTCCGCGCGATGGCCTCCGAGTCGACAGCGGCGCAGCGCAAAGCCCGCCTGGCCAAAAAGGCCGCCGAGGCCGAGGACGATGCGCCGCTCGCGCCAAAGAAGAAGAAGGCCAAGAAGGATGACCCGAAGAAGAGCGCGGCGCCCAAGGTGCACAAGAGCTCGGACCGCCTCAACGAGATCGAAGCGGTCGAGTTGCCGGATGAGCTCATGGTCTTTGACGACTGCGATGAAGTCCGCGAGCACATGCGGCACTTCTTCGAGGCAAAGGAGTGCACGCAAGGCGCGATGGCCGCGCACTTCAAGTTCTCCGTCGGCTCGATCCGCAAGTTCCTTGCGATGCGTGGGCCGCGCCAGGGCAGTGGCAGCATCGTGTACAAGGCCGCGTACTACTTTTTCGAGAAGCTACGCATCCTCGAGGAGAAGCACAAGACGGCGAAGCGCATCATGATGGAAGAAGCCATGCCCCAAGGGTACGACCTCGTGCGCGACCCGAAGTATACGCTGGTCATGCGGAGTGAATTGCACGACGACGACGACGATGACGACTATTAGCCTCCAATGCTGATGTTTGATTATTCATGTCTCGAGCACCGTCCTGTTCGCTCGCCTGCCGGCTGAGTGCTGGCGCAAAGCCACCACAAGCTTGGAGACGACATAAGAGTACCACAATAGTGTCTGTCGGCTGTGGCCATAAATTCCATTGTGATTGGGCAACAAGGTCGACGATGGATAGATAAGACGGTGGAATTATGTCTTGAGATAACGCTCACGTCTCATCCGAAAAGACTAGCGCGGTTCGTGAATAAACTGATAGCCGTACTGACCCGCCTCCAACGTCCTTGCTTGGGGTGGTGGACATGAGGTCGTGTAAAAGCAAGAAGACCCATCGACGACCTCTTTTGGGATAGATGATCGAACGAGTGCTCAGGAATCAACGAAAAGCATCGCAGTAGGTGGCACGCGTGGTGGCGTGATCCAACCGTGGCCGAAATGGGAGTGCAATGGCTTGGGAGCAAGGCGAGAACATCAAAGGCAAACTACTGGAAAGACGTGGGATTCTACATGCTTTTTGCTTCTGGAATGGGCCAAGAAGCCACTGATTTTGGTGGCTATGAGCTTATTTTGTGCTCTGAGGGTTCTTGAGAACGCTGGGTGACTTGGGCTTTGCATGCATCCCGAGCCTACGACAAGTGCGACAACGCGCCCGACCACATTATAGCCCACGGAAAGCAGGCGGCCAAGACCACGGTCGTGGTGTGCGTACCGGGCATGGACGAGACGCGCCACAGCTACCTCGGCATTGCTCCGCTTCTCGTTGCCGATGGCTGCACGGTCGATACAGTCCATTTGCGCGGGTCAGTCAACTTCGTGTATTACACAGTCAAAGACGACACGGTCGACATGGTTGCTTTTATTCGGCACCTTACCACAACTAAAGTCGTCGTCGTCGCCAACAGCTTTACGGCAGCGTGTACGATGCTCTTGACCTTGCCCCACGCGGTGAGCAAGCTCGCCGGTATCGTCATTCTGGGGCCATTCGCCGGGGTGTGGCCCGAAGCTGTTCAAGATGATTGAGCCGGCCATGTTTACTACGGCACGAGCACTTGGACGACGTACTGGTAGAGCCTCCTCCAGACGCTTCGAGCTGACTTTGACGACTGCAGGACCTTTTTGACAGCCAATGTGAACCAGCCGGGCCGTCTCAACGCGCTCGTCCAGCTCATTCAAGCTTCCAAGGCCAATGACACAACCTTTTGCTCGTGATCGGCATGGGATCTTGGGACCCCGACTTTGCATCGCCAGCAGCCGAAGCCCCGTTCATTCACGACACGGCCCAGAGCTCGTGGAAGCGCATCTCGATGTACGAGAGCGCCAAGCACTACCCTCAGATCGACTGCCCCGACGCCCTTCGCTAGGATACTCTCACCCTTGTGCATGAGGTGGCCGAGTAGAAACGATCTCTCTTGCGTCTAAACGAGGTTTCAAATACAATCGCTCATGTGTGCAATCAAAATGGAAAAGAGACTTGGCGCTTGGGCTTCTCACTGTAGGAGTGTGAGAGGAATGGGTGATGTCAAGCAAGTGCTTTTACGCATTTCGAGAAAGATCTACGCATAGCAAGCGATCGGGTGGCTTGGATACCGAGCAAACTCGCCCATTCTGTGAGCCATATACAATCTTGTCTTAAACAAGTACTTCTAGTCAATCCCAACGGGTCCAAGCAGCCGCGACTCCACCGGTGCGCAGCTCCTCCCTTCGTCGCAGATCGTTCGTTCGCCAATACAAACGGAACCTTCGTCGCGCTTGCGGCACCAACACTCTGGCTTCAAGACGGCCATTTTGACACACAATATCCGGAACGCTATCCGGAATTCATGGCATTGGTCGCGGAAGCAGTTCAAGCAGAAAGCAATCTAATTCGAGCTACACCATGGGTCGCAGCAAGAAGGCCGGGACAAGCTTGGGCAAGGCGCTCATGAAGACGAACGTCAAGAAGGCCAAGGAGCTCCAGTCGAGGTAGACGATCTACCTGCTTTGCATGCATCTCATGCATCTCCTCCAGCGCCGGCAAGCACGTGTCTGCCACCGACGGCGGTGACTCGACGGTCGCTCTCGCGTCGTACCTCGAAGGCTCGTCGCTTGTACACGCCTGGCTGCTGCATTACACGGTCGGCTCACGCAGCGTAGGACGATTTCTTGGCCAACGCCACGATGGCCAACCGCGAGTTCGTTGCCGAGAAAGAACGTGTCATGGTCCTTGAAGCCAACGGCCTCCCGACCTTGGCCAAAGTGTAAAGCCGCCAGGTGTTCCTCGCAGCGTCTCATGCAGTCCATAATAGGGACCTTGACAAGGTGCCCGAGATGGACTTTTCTGAAATGAAGATCCCGCGCCGCCCGGGCTGGGACTCGACGACGACGGCCGCGGAGCTCAACATGCGCGAGCGCGAGTCGTTCTTGAACTGGCGCCGCGACATTGCCATGTACAAGAAATTTGACTGACGCGGTTCTCACGGCGTCGTCTGTAGGCTCGAGGCAGCTTCGGAGGAGCGTGACGTGACGCCGTTCGAGAAGAACCTCGAAGTGTGGCGCCAGCTCTGGCGCGTCATTGAGCGCAGTGACATTGTCGTCCAGATCGTCGATGCGCGCAACCCGCTCTTCTACCGGTACGTCGGCACTTTCTTGTTGGACGACAACTCGAGATGACATGTCCCATTTTTGTAGCTCGGTGGACCTCGAACGCTATGTGAAGGAAGTCAACAGCGCCAAGGACTGCATGCTCATCATCAACAAGTCGGACTACCTCACGCCGGAACAGCGGTGCGTCTCCATGCTTGAACGCATTGCAGCACTCATGTTGCTCGCGAGTAGTCTCATTTGGGCCGACTACTTCAAGGCCAACGCGATTGACTTTGTCTTCTTCTCGGCCAAGGAAGCGCAGGAGAAGCTCGATGCGGAGTACAAGGCCAGCAAGGACTTTTCGCTCTCGGACGACGAAGGCGAGCTCGACGACGAAGACAGCGACGACGACGACGACGAGGAGGAAGAAGAAACAAAGCCGGCGCCGATTGTGGCCGAGACGCCCAAGCAGAGTGTGCCTGCCGAGCGCGAAGACTGCGTCGTCTTGACCCGCGAAGAGCTCCTCGAGTATCTCTCGGGCCGCGCCGACAAGGTCGTTGAGCGCGTCGGTCTCCGTGCGGACGACAAGGGCCTCGTCAAGTTTGGCATGGTGGGCTTCCCGAACGTCGGCAAGAGTTCGGCCATCAACGCGCTCCTCGGTGCGTCCAACTACTCGCACCACACGCAGCGTGTCGCTGTCGGCGCGACGCCCGGCAAGACCAAGCACTTTCAGGTTCCTCTTCAAAATTGCTGTACATCTCCCACGCTCAACGGTGGATGCGTAGACGATGATTCTCTCGGACAAGATCATGCTCTGCGATTGCCCGGGTCTCGTCTTCCCGTCGTTTGTCAACTCCAAGGCGGAAATGCTCTGCTGCGGCGTGCTTCCCATCTCGCAGCTCCGCGACCACGTTCGTATGTCCCCCACTGCTCTGAGAAATCGATCTAAATATCGATATAGCGCCGTGTGAGCTCGTCGCGCGCCGCATTCCTCGCCTCGTCTTCGAGTCGACGTACGGCATCAAGATCCCGTTCCCGAATTCGGGCAAGTACAACGACCCTGTCGATGTGTACACGCTCCTCGACGTCTACGCGCGCGCCCGTGGGTTTGCGACCGCAGGCAAGGGCGGCCCGGATCAATCGCGGGCTGCCCGCGTGCTCTTGCGCGATTACGTCATCGGCCGGCTGCTCTACTGCCACCCGCCGCCGGGCACGTCGCCGCGCGAGCCGGCGTTCGATGTGATGGAGCTGGCCAAGAAGTTTGCGGCGTCCGAGGACGCTGTCGCGCGCTTGGAGCCGCTCTCGGACGAGGAAGGAGACGATGCAGCCAAGACCCCGGGCTTTGACCCTGTCGGCATCGAAAACAAGACGGCCGCCTCGAAGCGGTACCGCCTTGAGACTATTCCGTGCCCGAAGAAACCTTTTTTCTCCATGTAGGCTCAAGAAGCACGGCAAGAAGGGTCGCAAGGCGCGCGACAAGAACCCGTACGAGGACCTCGACGGCGTCGCGTCGACGACGATGGCGCACATTTCGCGCGGCAAAAAGGCGATGAACCAAAAGGACTTTGTGCGTGTGACGATGCCGCACCACGTCACGTACACGCCGGGGGCCAAGTTTTAAACCGATTTTGATTCATATACACAAAGAACACATTCTATCGCTTCGTAAAGCCCGTGAGCACTTGCACCCAGTGGTGGGATCCATGCGTCGGGTCGGTGATCTTGAACGACGACGATGTCTACCATCACACAACGTGGGCCATGTGGAGAGAACGTCGAGGCGCACCGTGCGAATCTCAAACGTCGAGTCGCCTTTCGGCACGACGCGCATGTAGCGCACGTCCCAATGAAAGATGTCGTGCGTGTTGGTCTTGGTGTCGATGAGGATGAGGCGGCCGTTGGACGTGAAGAGCAGCTCCCTCGGCTTCTTCATAAACATAGCCGCGTGCAACTTTACTTCGGACTGGAAAAGCACCGACTCGTTGTTGTCGAGAAGACCGCTGTGCGCGGTTGTCGCACTGTTGCGCAGCGAGAGGCTGTTGTGGTTGGAGCTAATTATGCCATCCTCCTCAGCATCCTCATTCCATTTCGCCAGTTGGTACGTACATGCGCGACGCGACCGGCAGCGGAAAGTCCGTCTCGGCAAACGGGCTCGCCATGTCCGAGAAGGCGCCGGCGATCGACCAGTTGGGCGCCGCGCCGTCCTACAGATCGTCGTCGTCAGTGTTGCGAGAGATGAAAAGAGAGGTATAATACGATCGTGGGTGTCGGGAGCGTCACAACGTCCGGCGTCACGGGGCTGCGCGTCGTGGCGACCGTCTCCCAGTCGATGCCGTCAAAGAACGGGTGCGCCTTGATCGTCGCATAGTCGGTCAGGCGCAACTGGAGGTCGCGCACGAGGAGCTTCCGCACGAGGTCCCGCGCCGGCTCAGGGACCGACTCTGGGAACTCCATCGTGTCGCTGTCATGGGTCAAAATGTCCTGAAAGGTAAAGTAGTCGTTCTCGCCGCGGAACGGCGGGCGCCCGACCAACATCTAGACACTTTTGTCACGCATCCCATAAGACTGCTAATCGTACTTGGAAGATGATGCAGCCCAGCGCCCAGAGGTCGCTTCCGATGCACGCGGGCAGGTCGTTGAGAACTTCGGGCGAGAGGTACTCGGCCGTGCCGCAAAAGTTGTTGTTTTCGTCTTGGTTGTCGCCCGTCTAGACCCATTCGAACATGAAAATGGGCCATGCACGGAGGAGCCAAGTACGGTGGCCGTGCCAAAGTCGGTCACCTTGAGCTGCCCTTGCTCGCTACTACATCATGAGCCATGTCAGTCGGCGTGCGACGTACGTGAGGAGAATGTTGTCGGGCTTGAGGTCGCGATGGATAACGTTCTAGGCGCATGAATGAGCGTAGATAATGGAGAGCAATGGCGTACGTTCGAATGCATGTACTCGAGTGCGCACACGAGCTGCGCCATGTAAAACTGCGCGACGGACGCCGTGCAGGCGTGGTCCTGGATGCCTTGCTGGCGGTACTGGTCGCGCTCCTTGCTACAGGCCGGTGACGCGAGCTCACACATAGGTTGACATTGCTGTACCAGATGAAATGCAAGAGTTCGCCGCCACGGCAAAGCTCCATGACCATGTACAAGCTGTCGTCGTCCTATTCGCAGCGGCCAAACTGAGCCTCTGTGCAAGGCGATCGCGGATCTACCTTGAAACTGCAGTAGAACTTGACGATGTTGGGGTGCGAGAGCTTGGACATGACCTGGCGCTCCATGACGACAAATGGCACCTTCTTGTGGCGCTTGATGAACTCTTGGTCCATGACCTTGATGGCAAAGTTGGCGCCCGTGCGCTTGAACTGCGCGTGGTAGACCTTGGCGAACGAGCCTTGGCCCAGCACCATGCCGAACATAAAGTCGCCCGGCGACATGCCGGCGCGGGGCGTCGACGTCGAGGCGGCAGCGTGCTGGCCCATGGTTCAAATTGGTCACTGCCGACGGCAATCTGGCGACTTGGTTTTCTATGCCATTTCCATTCGAACAACTACCTCCCACAATGAATATCGCGCTTGGTCGCGCCAGGTAGCGGCACGGTCCGCACGCGCGTGCTGCACTGCATCGGGCCTCCAATCGCCCGATGGTCACACCGAGGTGCGGGTGTGCCGCGTCTTGCCGCCCGCGAGTCGTCCACGAGCCGGGCCATTGGTATATAAAGTGTGGGAGGTTATTGAGGCAAAAATGGCGCACGCTGAATTGAAGTGGGCGAAAGCAGCAAGTCGATGGCCTTGGCGAAGACGACGACGCCCTGTGAATATCATCATTACGTGGCAGGCTCTTGGAGGCATGGAAGCGCGATGCATTACGGACAGGCTGGCGTACCCAAGGACCACCTGAGCACACACGTGACGGTGGAGCGTTTGCCCGAGGACGATGGACCACTACAATTAGGATTTATCCGAATTGCGTCCATTTCAGGATGGACGCGTTTGTTGCGCACGTCTTCGCCGAGCGCGATACCTTTTCGTTCAGCGCGTCCGTGCCAACGCGCTGGCTGGTCTGGCTGCGGCCGTCCACGAGCAGCCCGTTGGCCATGACGCTCTTGGTCTGCGTTGGCGTCGACGGCGCGACCAAGTGCTTTGAGAAGCAGCTTCTGGCGACCGAGCTTCAAGCCCATGTAGAGAGCCGTGGCATGGCTTCACATCTCATCGAGTATTACTAGATGCAAGAGCTGGGTGTCAATGGCGATCTCGGCATGTTTGCTGCGCCCTTCAAGGTACGTCTCTAATGCGACGACGCTCTGCATGAGCAGCACGTGTAGACGGCGCTCGAGTCGGCGGCGAACGTGAGCGTGAGTGTCGAAGACAACGGCAGCGCGTGCGTCAACATCACATACCTCTTTGGTCCGTCCTTGCTTCGCCGAGGTACAGTGCGCCACGCATTCTCACGCTCACCGGGCTGCGCAGGGCACTTTCTCGTCGATGCGGGGCAAGCTCTACCGGACACAGCCTACACGCTGCTTGTCGACCTGCATGGCCTTCGGACCGAGAGCGCCGAGGTATGACTGCTGTGCTATGCACTGCTACATAGTAGACCACTAGGACACTCGTCTTCGTCGGATGCGACGGTCGGCCTTGCTGCAGCCGACCACCGCCTCAGCACCTCTCAGCTTCACCACGGCGCCAGCCACCACAAGCTCGACGTCGACCGTGCCCAACCCACTCAAGCGCAAGGCAGCGCTGCCCATGGGCGCGAGGTATGCATCGTGTCTGCATCAACACACATGCAAATGGTTTTTCATTTAGACGCAAGGGCAGCCGTGGTGTCAAGCTCGCCTTCGCCGATGACGACGACGCGGCATAAGCACAATAGCTGTGATCTTACTCTTGGTGGTGGTACATGTGCTCGGCGTACATGGACGCCGTGAGGGACGGGCGGCGTGCGGCGTCGGGGTCGAGCGGGCGAACGTCCGGATCAATGGGGGCGAGGTCCTTGAGGAGCGCCGCGCACTCCATGTTGCCGCGAAGAATCGCCGATGCATGTGCGTTGCGGCCCGACTAGCATCACGTTAGCTTCATAATGTGCCATCGAAAATGTCACTACGTCGTCGATGGCACCGGGGTCGGCGCCGGCCTCCAAAAGCACTGTGATCGCGCCCACTTGGTTCTTCTTGGCGGCTACAATGAGCGGTGTCGCGTGGTTCTACGTACGCAGATGCGGAGACGCCGTGCAACGAAGCGAGTACCATGTCCGGGAGGTTGACATCAGCCTTGGCGCGCACCAAAAGCTCGACGACCTTTTCGTTGGGCGACCCACAATAGCACGCGTGGTGGAGCGGCGTTGAGTGTTGCTACATGCGATGTCGTCACGCATTGCAAGTGCGAGGCTCCGTACGTTGTTGCTTGCGTCCACAAGCGCGCCGGCCTCGAGAAGCGCTTCGACGCACCCGACGCAGCCCGCCATGGCCGCCGCATGCAACGGCACATTGCCAAACTGGTTGACGGCGTCGACCATGGACCAGCGCGGCGCGTTCTTGTCGTTGGCGTCGTGGAGATCGTCCTGGTACTGGTCCTTGTGCGCGATGAGTAGGCGCACAATCTCAGGATTGCGATGAAAGCACGCTTCATGGAGCGGGCTGTTGGCGTCCTACAAAAGCTCCTATCACGCATTAACGTCGCGCAGGCTTGGCGCACGGGTGTGCGCAGCGCCGCAACGTCAGCGCCGCCGTCCAGAAGAGCGCGGACAGTCTCGACATGGCCGCCAGTGATGGCTGCGATCAATGGCGTCGAGCCGTACTACGGCAAGCATGATCGTGCGTACGAGGCGGAGGTGGTACATACGTGGTTGCGCTGGTGAAAGTTGACGTCGGCCGTCTTCTCTGCGAGAAGCTCTTGCACGCGGGCCGTGTCGCCGGCGAGCGCCGCTGCGTACAGCTGCTCGGTCTCCTTGGCGACGAGCCGATTCGTGCTCATGGCGGCTGAAACGGACTTTGCGAAATTCCCGAGCGGATCTCGAGGCTAAAATCACGCCACTGGACCAGTGTTTGTATTCTAATATTGCAAATGTAGTTGAGCTCCTCGATACGTTCTGACCGGTGGTGATACGAAGAGCGTATAGCTGGTTGAGCTGTCCTTCTCCAAGTCTCTTCTTGCACCGACGGCGGCGGTACAATTGTACCTCGTGGCGCTCGACATAGGAGCCCTAATCTCTGCTGCTCTGGTGCTGGATTCTTTTCTGGCTCGTTGGATCGACTAGAAATGTGGTTTTGACCAAATGCATTCCTTTTGTGCGACGATGGCAAATCACAGCTCCAGCGTGGCGATGCTGCAAGTGGACGCGGGGACCTGTGTTGGCTTCAAGGCGCTGCCCCACCCGCTCACCGCGCTGCCAAATTCCAATGGCAGTGACTGGTCGGCTCTCTACCCCCAATTCACGCTCGAGCAAGCCGTCGCGTACGCCCCCAACCAGTGGGAGCGGGGTCATGCCCAAGTCCAGATCGTTGCGCTGACCCTTCGTTCACCGCTGACGCTATTTCTGTGCAACGACACCGTCTTTCAAGCTGGCACGATCGATGGCGCGACCAAGGCAGCGCGACTTCGCGCAGTGTATACGCAGTTTCAAGCACAGCACCGTGACGTGCGTTCGCTCTTAACGTCGCTGCCGCTTCTGGATGCCTTTGGCGCCATTGACACTGCCGTCGTGCTCTGGGACGCGACGACGCCAGAGCTCGTGCTGCCTCACGCGCTGACCTCCATGGACAGGTTGCACGTCTCGTCGCCGCTGATGCGTCTGGAAGAGAGTGCGACGTGGCCGTGTACTCTTGGTCGTATCATCGTGGGCCACGAAGCGATTCCGCGCGCTTGCTTGCTCGACAGCGCGACTTGGCTCTCGGCACTGCAGCTTGATCCGTTCACGTCTGTGGCGACGTCCCTGCTGGCTACCATCGCCATGCATTTCAACGCGTCGACTAACGACCTCTAACGACACTTGCATCCATCATCTCTTCAACAGCGTGGACGATGGATCGATGACGCAGCGTTTGTCATGGCAGCGGGAAAAGCAAGCATCGATCGATGAATGAGTTAGTCGTTGTATGGGACGTACTCGAGGTCTCGGCAGTTGTTGAACTGCGCGTAGTTGTCCTTGTAGTACGCGGCGGTCGGGTCGATACCAGAGAAGGCGCGAAACTGCTCAAACGTGCGCTTCGTGCCGAGCCCAAACTTGTCAATGTCCGTCTTGTCGTAGTCGTCGCTGGTCGTCGAGAGGCCGAGGACGGTGCGGATCCGGCGCTTGGCCTTTTGCTGGACGACGTACCGGTCGCCCCAGTCGCGCTCCCAGACCACGTTGCGCTTCTCGTACCAGTGGTACACGACCTGGCGCTTCGGGACGTACATGTCGTAGCCGTGCGTGAAGAGGCGCGCGGCCTTTGAGTACTCTTCGCCGTGAAAGAGGTACGGCGTGTACGGGTCGTTCCGGACCTCGAGCGCCTGGATCGCGGTGCCAAAGTTGAAGCCGCCCGCAAACTGCGACATGAGACGGGGCTTCTCGGGCACCGGAATGAGCTGCACGGCGTCGTACGAGATCATCGCGTCGGCGTCTTCGGTCTCGATCTTGCCCGTGCACATGAGGATCGCGGTCGTGTCGAGGGAGGTGTCCATGTTGCGCGGCGTGTTGTCGGTCGAGCGAGGGTAGACAGTGATGATCGCCTTCTCGTTCTGCAGCGAGTCCCACTGCTCGATGAGGTCCTTGTCCCAGTGCGGCACAAACACAATGTGCGAGTCGATCGCGAGCGAGAACGTGTCGATCGCGAGGTCGATGCCCTTCTCGGTCTGGTACCGCGCGAACGTCGGACCCGTCGCGTGCAGCGCGTTGATCGTGTCGTTGCGGCGCAGCTGCGACCGGCGGCAGTTGGCCTCGCCGACCTTGTCGCAGTACGCGTCGTAGCACCGGCCTTCGCCCTGCTCCTCGTAGATCTGGTCAAAGATGCTCACCGAGAGCAAGTCGGGCTGCGACGCCTGCGCGTACATGGACTGGAGCGTCTCGGCGCACCGCGCCGTGTCGCGGTAGTTGGCGATGAGCACGATCGTGCGCCGCTCGCGCTTGGTCGTGCCCTGCGGAAGGCCGCGGTCGACCTGGCGCAGCCGCGGCTCGAGCGCCGCCTGGCTGCTGCTGTGGACGAAGCTCAGGTTCACGCGCACAAGGACGCAGACGACGAGGAACATGCTGAGCATGATGATCGTGTTCATGTTGAAGCGCCATGAGGACCGGCCGCGTGGCATCGGCGGCGCCATCGCGATGATGAAAATGTGGGCTGCGTCACTGTCTCGACACTCGATACCTTTCTATCTTGATACAAAGCTCTTTCGGATCGACCTCATCGGTGAAATATGATATTGCAATATTGGTAGAGCCTGTCATATGCAATATACTGTCATACCGCATATAAGATCGGAGTCGACAGCGACCGACGATATTTTATCCGGATATGCGAGCCCAGTATCCGGTGTCCTGCCGGTTACACGGCGTCGGGACACGGACATGGACCGCTTGGCCCAGCAGTACCATGTCGAGGACGTCGGCCGGATCCTCCTCCAGGCGCAAGATGAGCTGCGCAACATGCGCGAGCAGGTCCTCACGAGCAACAACATCGACGTCGATGCGCTGCAAGCGATTCTCGAGCGCGCCGAGCTGGACCTGCGCTCCAAGGCCGAGGTCAGACCGCCTGTCTCGGCGCAAGCAGCTCAACAACCGCACGCTGCGTAGATCGTCTTGAATGGCGTCGTCAACCACACGATGAAGACGCTACCGGTCATCGAAGCTCCAGGCGGCGGCCAGCCGTCTGTCTCCAAATTCTCGACGAAACTGGCCAAGCAGCGCGAACTCGCCGACACGATGGCGCGGGATGTGCGTCTTGATGGCTACGATGTGGGCGCATCTCAGTGACGTGTAGGGGTCGCTGGAGGATCGAAGGACGCGCAATTCGCCCGTCGAGCGGCTGCGACAGGTAGCTCCCGTGCGAGATCGTCGGCGACTCATCCTGCGCCATGTCCTCGTGTAGCAACTGGGCCAGCCCGTCGTACCCGTCGAGCGAGATCGGCCACCAGGAAAGCGGCCGATTGGACGAGCGATGCAAGTTGGTCGCTTGATCAAAAGAAAGTCACGGGCCCCCAGCGCCTCCTTCCCAAGGTACCGACAGCGTCGTCTTGGAGTTGAAACACCATCATCCACGTAGGTGAACCGGATTGACCCGCTGGCGCCCGTGCCTGACTTGGAGGACGACGACGCCAAGCGTGGCGTGCTCAACCTCGTCAACCGCGGGTTCATTCCGACATCCGCCGACATCTCGCTCGCCTTCACGCACGGCGATGGCATCATGCAGAACAGGTGCACTTCCCCGACGCGAATCCATGCCGAGCGTCTGTAGCAAATTGCGTCTCTACGACCGGTCCGAGCAGCCTGTCAAGTCGCAGCCCTACATGAACTCGTCGGGCTTCAACGTAGCGTCGCTAAAGCTTGATCTGGCGCCGCCCCCGACCGAGCCCGACGCGGTGCCGCCGACACGGCCGGCAGTTGCTCGGAAAAGAAAATCGACCGTCGCCACTGTCCAGCTCTCGTTCCCAGGGGCGAAGGACGAATTGGTCGATGCAGTGCCAGTTGAAGACCCCGCGACAGACGACGGCCCGATCGAGCCCACCGACACGATTGACGTACTTCTTCCATCACCTCGACCCTTGTAATGTGGTTTGTAGGAGTTGCGCAACAACGTCGAGAAGATTCGCGGCTACAACGACCTCCTCGACACCTACAGGTCATGCTCCAGCTCTTGCGACCCCATTTGTTGAAACATTACGCGTGCGTAGCCTGCATCAGTTTATCATTCGGAAGGGCCAAACGCTTTCCGAGACGCCGGAATTCATCTCGTTCAAGCGCATCACTGAAGACCTTTGGGGCAGCGTCTCGATGGCGATCCGCGAGCTCGAGACGCTCTTGGTCCACTACTCGGTGCCGCTCGCCTACATTGATGGTCAAAAGCTGCTCAAAATCGCAGCCATGGACGCGGTGTCACGCTCCAAGTCGGAGCTGCTCACATGTGTGCTCAACGTCGACGAGGTTACGACCTTTATGGCGCGGCCAGGCCAGCGCTTCAAGGGCGGGGATGGCCGGCACGCGGCGGCGATCGTCATCCAGTCGGTCTACCGCATGCATCGCACGCGGCGGCTGCTGCGGCAGCACCACGGGCACTCGTACGCGACGCACATTCAGCGCGTGTATCGAACGTACAAGTGCGTCAAAGACATCCAAGTCAAGCTACGACTGGCGCGCGAGGCCGACGCCCGCACATGGGAGACGCAAATGACCACGTTCCACGCCAACTGGGACAAGGTGGAGTGGACGCGTTGGATCGGATGGACTTGATATATTGATAGATCAAAATGCAACGGCGGGTCGTCGTCCACGTGCCGTCCTTCTCGGCCGAAGAGCGCGCGCGGCTCAACATGGACAACTTTGCGATTCGTCAGAATCTGCAGATGGCGCGTCTCTGCGCGATCGCGGATCCCAACGTCGACGTCATCTACATCTCGCCGTTCGAGCTCTCGGTCGACATTCAAAAGTACATGATGCGCCTGCTGCAGCTGGGCGGCGTCGCGGACCCGCACTCGCGCGTCCGGATGCTGCACCCGGAGAACGCCGAGCGCTTCCCCGAGCACTTTTCGCTGGCGACGATCCTCCTCTACTCGCCGCACTGTCTCAAGAAGATCAAACGCTACGTCCGCGGCAAGGAGGCGTACATCGTCGCAGGCACGGTGGGTCCCGAAGACAAGCGGCTCGCGATCCGACTGCAGCTGCCGCTGCTGGGCATGGACCCGGACCGCGCTTTGCTCTACGGCACACGCGTACGCTGTCTGTTTTGTCGTCTTCTTATGCTGGGTGTAGTCGGGTGCGAAGCGGCTTTTTACGCAAGCCGACGTCAACATTCCGTACGGCGCCCACGACATTTACGACGAAGACGAGCTGATTCTGAGCTTGGCCAAGCTCACGGCCGCCAACTTGCACCAAGGCATGTGGCTCATCAAGGTGCGTTGACTTTTAGTCATCCGTATCACTCTGCGTAGCTGGATGCGGACCCGTCCGACACGGGCTTGGCGGCCATCGACATGCACGCGCTCGAGTGCGTCAACAAAGTCCGCGCCGAGAAGCGCGCGATGAAGAACGACGAGTACTACAGCCAGCCAAACATCAAAGAAGGGATCGTGCGGGCGATCGTCGCCGAACTCAGCGAGCAATTTCACCGACTCATTTCGCCCTGTTTTCCCGACGTATGCGACTCAACTCTCTGATCGGATCCTCACTTGCAGTAGGTCTACCCGACGTGGCAGCACATGCGTCCCGTGGTCAACCGCATCGGCGCCGTCATCGAAGTACGAGCATATTGACTTGTTGGTATTCGACAATCGACACCGGCGTAGGCGTACCCCCCCAAGGTCCTTGCGCGCGTTCGCGCCAACGTCTTCATCGAACCGTCCGGCGGCGTGCACGTGACGTCGGCGCAGGAGCAGTTGATGCACGTCAAGAACAAGCACCAAAGCGTCGGCGCCGTGTACCCGCCAACGGCCGTGCCCTACGCAGCGATCCGCGTGCGTCGACGCATGTTCTTATTGCGTCTTATTGTGAGGACGATGCTTTTAGGGCGCGTCGTTGGCGGTCGCGCAAGCCATGTACGCGAGCGGCATCATTGGCTACGCGAGCATCGACTATGTGGCGTTTCTCGACGTCAAGACGGTCAACGGGAAGGCGGGGCCGCCGCACTTGCGGCTCTGGGCCCTCCAGCTCTTGCCGTGCCTCACGCCGACGGCCATGTCCTTCGTGCTCTTCACCTTTTTGTCGTGCGCGACGCTGGACGCGGCGACGGGCCGCAGTTTCCTCCCGCTGCCCGCACCGCGTCCGTCGTCGCTTGCGGGCCCGCCAGCAACCGAGACGCAGTTGGCGGTCGAAAAAATCTTGGGCGAGAGTTCGCCTGCCGCGACGATGGGGGCCGAGCGCGCCTACATTGCGCACGAGTACATCTTCCACCCGAACATGGCCACGCTCCAGTACGCCGTCTTCTTCAACATGTGCCGCGTGCACGGCGTGAGCTTTGACCTGCAGGTACGTCTACGTCGTCGACCGCGATCTCGTGTCAACAAGGTGGCGCGTAGAAATCGATTGGCGCCGCGTTCGTGTTGGCCGACAGCCTCACGGCCGGCGTCGTCGGGCTTCTCTGCATCGGCGAGTCGGACAAGGAGGCGGTGCGCTTGACCCGGGCCGCGCTTGAGCTCATTGGCGACCAAGTCGGCGTGCAGCCTGCACCGGACGCGCTCACGGGCGAGCGGCTTGGTAACTTTGCTGCCGTCCTCGGTGCGATCCGATTGCGCCACGACGACATGGTCAAGCGAGCGAAGAAGGCGCGGTCCAACACGTCTGCGTGCTTGGTGTAGTCTAACAAATTGGGTTCTATTATTTACGCGATTCAAAGGTTCTTAGATGTCAAAGGTCACTTTGGGCTTCTTGGAAGGCTTGTACGGCACGTTGCCTTTGGTCAAGTAGTGGACGCCGCGCTCGACGTTGATGTGGGCGACCTCCTGCGACCGCGATGTGTCGACGAGGTAGTCAAAAAGGCCTTTGGACTGCAGCCGGTACACCCCCGTCTCTTCGTCGACGGCCACAATGTCCTCGAACGAGCGCGCAATGAGCGCGAGGTCCGGCTGGCCGAGCTTAAATATGTGTTGGACGTCCGACTCGGTCACAAACGGACACGCGTTCTTCTCGTGCGACAGGGTGGCCGCGCCGACGATGGCTTCGAGGACCGGCTGCACTTTCTGCCACACGCGGCGCCGGCCTTTGCCGTACTTTTCCTCAAACACTTGGTCGTAAATCTCGTAGAGCGTCTTGGGCAACTCGAGGATCATGCCCGCGTCAATCTCCGAGTGGATCATCGCAAAGGCTTGGTCGACAAACTGGAGGTACAAGAAGCTGCCTTGGCTCTTGGCCTTGAGGAGGAAGAGGATGTTCTTGTCGTCGAGACCGTGCTTGTCCATGAGCGACTGCACTGCGATCGTGCAGTCGGCGGCAAACGGCCGGTGCTCCATGTGAAAGTGGAGCACGTCGTGCGTTGGCAGCGCCTTCAATACGCTGTCCACGGGCCGCGACGAAAGCAAAAAGAGGACCCAGCTCGGAAACTCGAGCGCGACATCGGCCAGCAGCGAAATGAGGTTCGTGCCCGGAGTCGACGCGTCCTCGTCGACAGCGTCGAGCACGATCACTTGGCTTTCGAGCGGCGCTGGCATCGACCGCAGCGGCTCAATGAGGAGCTTGGTCGCAAGCACGACCGGGTCGGGTTCTTGGATGAGGTACGCGAGGTTGAGGCGCACAAGCTGTTGCTGGAAGTCGGGCAGTTTGCACGAGATCTGGTGCGCGAGCGACATGAGGATCGCACTCGTCGCGTGGCGCTCGTCGTAGCGCACAAAGTGGCTCGCCATGATCTGTTCGGGGTAGTTGGACACGAGGTGGCTCAGGAGCGTCGACTTGCCGGCGCCCGCGCCGCCCACGACGTTGAGCACGCGCGACTCGTTCGTCGGGCCTGCGTCTTGCGCCCACTTGATGTACTGGTTGATGGCCCACGTGCGCGTCGACGGCAGCATCTCCATGGCCGGCCGCTGCGTGTTGAGGAACGGCAAGTGCTGGTTCAAGACGTTTTCCCATGGCTGCGTAAGCGCCTGGTCTTTGATGGGCTGACGCGTCGACTCGCGAAAGAGCTTGGACGACTCACGGCTTATTTTGGACGACTCGCGGCTGAGCTTGGACGACTCGCGGCTGAGCTTGGACGATGCCCGGATCGACTCGCGGACAACTGTGGACTCGCGCTTGGGCGGTGACGGCGTGCGGCTGGCAGCAGGAAGGTACGGCACCTTGGGGTTGGGCTCAAAGACCTCGGGCTCCTCAAGCGTCGAGCTCTCCGAGTCGGCTTCGCTCGAGACGGTCGCATCTGACATGACGCTGAGCTTGCGGTCCTCGGTGCGAAGCAGCGGGGTCGCTGCTGCACGCGGCTGTTGATGCATGGCGTCCACAAGCTGCATGACAGCCCCGCGAAGCATCGTCATTTCCTTCAGCAGGTCGTACTTTGTTGTATGGAGCTCCATCATGACGTCGCGACGAATGCCGTCGACGTGGCGCTTCATCTCATCGACAGCAGCGTCCATCGCCATGGACGGCGCCGGCGCATCCGAGGTATTCTCAAACCCCGTGGGCTCATCACGGTACGCTTTCGCTGGCACAATGTGGTTGGTCGCTTGGTTGGAGATGGCGCGGCGCGTGCTGTCGCGCACCGTGCCTTCGACGTGGTCGAGGCGCGCAATCGTCTCGCGCTTGTACTCGTCGAGCTGCTTGTTCATGCTCGCGACGGTCTCATGCAGCGTGTCGAGCTGGTAGCTCGAGTAGTTGGAGGCGGTGATCGCCGAGGCGGTCACGCCCGAGAGCGTCACGCGCTCGCGGGGCATGCTCGCGGTCACGTCGTCGCCGCGGAGGCTCATTTTGGACGCGCTCCTTCGGAAAAACTTGGCCATGGCGTGTGCGTGGCGGCGCGGTTGCAGGAATGACTGCAATGTGTAGGTGGCGAACCTCATGCAGCTGACTCGACGCGCGCATGATCTCAGCGCCACGGATTCTACATATGCAAACTACGATTTCTGGATCTCCTTCCGGATGCTGAGAGGCTAAAAATAGATTCTCTACAGGATTTCAACCAATCAAATGCGAGATGGACTGCGATACATGATTTCTCTGCCGCCAGATGCGGTAACGAGTCGGTCGCCAAGTCGTCCGTCAATTAAAGCACAAGCGCGTAGGCCCTCGTCTCTGCTAGAGCAGTGGCAGCGTACATGCGCCATGATAAACGCCCCTCCAGTAGAGCGTTGTACATATCTCCGCGTCAGGTCCTGAAGTTTTGTACAGTATCGCGCGCCCCGATATCCGATATAAACCAACGACGAACACGCTCGGAACACAAGGAAGCATTCGCACCGGTCGATGCGTGTTCGCCGAACCTTCGCGTCACTGGCTCGACGACGCGTCGCGGCCGATGGAGATGCGAGGTGCTGAGAGAAATCCTATCATTTTGGCGTAGGGTACGAGGAAAGAATGCGAGGATCGAGTTGCGGTTCGATGGACGGACTCTCACTGTCATTTTTGTACTAGTATCATGGGCGATGGGCCGCATTCGACAGCGGAATGCGAAGAGAGCTCATGGCGCTGTACCCACGTCGTCCATGGAGTCGTTGGTCGCACGGCACAGCGTTGGCAACGCCGTCGCGAGGACTTTATGTTCACGAAGAACTGTCGAGTTGATTCGAATGACGACGCGGGGCTGTGCAGCTACAACGAAGCCACGCACCGTTACCATGAAGGTATTTGGTGACCTACCTCGAGCGAGCGTTGGCTTGGAGTTGCTTTCTGTTGGGTGCTGCGTCAACGCCCGTCACTCAAATTGGACAGCACCCGAGCTGTAGACCGACTGTGCTGCATGCTTATCCCAAAGCTATTGTATTCAAGTGCAGGTGTCCTGTGACGCGCTGGAGTGGGCCGTTTTCACTGCACTCCTTGGTGAACGAACGTGTCTACCTCGATGAACACCGTTGTTTGGGAACTCGACTGTGTACTGCAAGAATTTTTAATGCTGCTTGCAGAGGAATGTCCATCTAATCGAGGAGCTTGATCATTGGCAATGACATGCGTGTTTCGTCGTTTACATTCGCAAGGCGACAAAAGAGGTTCATTGTTGTGTTGCTCGCCAGGTACATACATAACTGTCTCGTGTCAACGCCAAGTCAAAGCAAAGCCAACGACCGAAGAGCCTTCACGGGCCAGCATCGCTTGACGACACCGCGCCAGCATCGCGTCCAACGCATCAAGAGGAGTCAGTGCTCGTTGGCTTGATCGACTCGAACCAAGTCAGATTATCAATTCCCAAGCACCGCCTTAGGTGGAAACTCGGGCTTCTTTTTGGTTTGAAGACCTTCGTTTCTGTGCTTTGGGGGTGCTTGGATCGGGCGGTGAGTGGCATCGGGCCGTCCCGCTGCGGCCACGTCACTGCGGGCAACCGGACGCGATATCCGAACACAAATCTCCGAATACAGTATCCGGACATCAAGTCTTGGAGGTTTGCCACGAGCGAGGGCCTTTCGGGTTTGCCAACCGCACACTTTCGTCGAGCAAGTCATGCGTCCTTCCGCGGTCGTCTCGACCATCTTCGCGCTGTGCTGCTGCATGGGCCTCTCGCAGGCGGAGATCATCAACAAGTCGGTACGCCTCTGCGCATCAAGATGCGACTCTTCCGAGCTCTCGAATGACATGCAGCTTGGGCTAGGTCAAGCGCAGCTGGGACCTGACACGCCACGTGGCCAAGAGCCAAGTGGACATCACGTTCGCTGACGATACGGCGTCGGTCAAGACGTACGAAGTCGCGATCCCGCTCTACCTGGACGAGCATTTGGCGCTCTTGACGGCCAAGGCCGATAAGAACGTAGCGCTCGACGTTGTCAAGGGCAAGCTCGACGCGACCAAGCAGGCGCAGCTCTACACGGTGCACTTGAAGTCGCCGATTGCCAAGGGCGACGAAGGCTCCTTGAAGATCATTTCGCACTACAGCCGCGTCATGGTGCCGTACCCGGCCGAAATCACGCAGGCCGAGGACCAGCTCGTCATGTTCACGGCGCAGCACTTGTTCTTGTCGCCGTACGCGACGACGACGCAGACGACGCGCGTCAAGCTCGCATCCAGCCGCGTCGAGCAGTACTCGGAGTTCGCGCCCGTTTCGCTCAAGGGCACGACGCTCACGTATGGTCCCTACGCGGACGTGGCGGCGTTTGGGTCGCTGGCGTTCGCCAAGTCGCTCGTCGTGCACTTCAAGAACCATGCGCCGTTCATGACGATGACGTCGCTCACAAAGGAGATCGAAGTGAGCTTGTGGGGCCGCGTGAGTACCGAGGAGGTCGTCGACTTGTCGCACTCGGGTGCTGTGCTCAAGGGCGGCTTCTCGCGCTTCGACTACATGCAGATGCCGTCGGCGTCGTTCCGCCAGTTCACCGCGACGCTGCCCAAGGACGTGCTCAACGTCTACTACCGCGACCAGATTGGCAACATCACGACGTCGCGCATGCGCCAGACGACGTCCCGCACCGAGCTCGAGCTCAACGCGCGCTTCCCGCTCTTTGGCGGCTGGAAGACGCAGTACTACCTCGGCTACTCGGTGCCGACGCAGACGGTTCTCTTCCGGTCGGGCGAAAGCTACAAGCTCGAGATGGACTTTTCCACGTGCATTGACGGCGCGTCGGTCGACGACCTCACGCTCAAGGTCATTTTGCCCGAAGGCGCGCGCAACATCAAGGTGCACGTCCCGTTCGCCGTCGACGTCCAGGGCGAGACGACGCGCCAGACGTACCTCGACACGGCCATGGTCGGGCGCCCCGTCGTGCTCCTCAAGAAGACCAACGTCGTCGCGCAGCACAACGTGCCCTTCACGGTCACGTTCGAGTACCCGTCGCGTTTCATTTACCGCGAGCCGCTCCTCTTGATCGGCGGCTTCTTCGCCTTCTTTGTCGTCTGCATGGTGCTCTTCCGGCTGGACTTGAGCCTCACGAAGGCCGCTGTCTCGTCCGCGCCCAAGGCCAAGGTCGAATAGAGCACATGTCGTCGTTCTTGCATGCGACCGTAATTGAAACCCTTCTTCTCACGTGCAGTCGTCCCTACTACGCATTGGAGCCGCTGCAGCGACGCGTAGTACGTCGAATGGTAGAAACAGGAGCATAGACGTCTGCGACAAGCATCGACCGACGACGACGACCACGGAGCAGTCTCTCCTCAGCAGTACCTCTGGGACTAGATACCATCGTGGCCGATTTCCTGCGGCGGCAAGAGGACCGATGCATCCGAGGCTTCTTGGCAGTTGAAGCTGATGCGAAGTGGCCAACGCCATGTATGAGGCGTGCGAGAAGGGACGATGCTCGGTAGGTCTATAGCTTATAGTATTGTCACACCTAGACCTACCCTAATCCTCGAACACTGCGGCATCGATTGCTGACTTCCATTTGCCTTTACAGCGTAAAAGACGATTTGTCGTTTTTACCATCGAGCTAAACTAGCTTTCTACATCTCATTTCCCATTCATCGAGCGAGCGACCAAGCACCATGACTCTCTACAGCGCAACGTACCACCAGGACAAGGAGGCCCGTCGCGTCGCGGCTTTGGAAGCCCAGCTCCGCATCTCGCACCCGTTTCGCCGGCCTACCACCACCAAGTCGGTGGCCAAGGCTACGGCCAAGCCAGCTACACGCTCTGCCACTGCCACTGCGGTACGCTCTGCGCCTTGCGCTAGCAACAAGCCGATCGCGCGTTCTGCATCGGATTTGGCACGCGACCACAAGGTCGAGATCGAACGTCTGCAAGCCGAGCACCAAGCTGCTTTGGCTGCCATGACTGAGAAGCTGCATGCTGCCCACGACCACGTGCTGGAGCTTGCGCATCGCGTCCTTCGGCGCGATGACACGATCATGGCGCTTCGTCAAAAGCTCGAGCGTCGCGTTGCACGGAAGGAGGCCGAAGTTCAGCACATCAAGATGCACTTGGTCGACGCCAACACCGTCATCGCCGAGAACAAGACGACGATCTCGGAGCTCCATGAACAACTCATCGAGACCGAGACGGTCCTCGCTGACACGGTCGCTCAAAAGGACAACACGATCGCGCAGCTCTTGGCGCAAGTTGCGAGCCTGACAGCAACGACCTCCAACGACGCGCTTGACGCCGCCCACGACCACGTGCTGGAGCTTGCGCACCGCGTCCTTCGGCGCGACGACACGATCACTGCCTTGCGGGAGAAGATGGAGCGCCGCCTTGCACGCAAGGAGGCCCAGGTGCAGCACATCAAAATGCACTTGGTCGACGCCAACGCCACCATTGCCAAGAACAAGAACACGATCACGCAGCTCAGTACGTGGGTCAAGAGCCTCGAGACCAAGATTCACGCAGCCATCGCCTCCAACGACACGCTTCTAGCGACTCTGCACCAGCCAACTCGAGTTAACTTGTGGTCGAATGGACCGCCGCACTCGACGGACGACTTGGATTCGCTCGCATCGTCCGAGATGGAGCCGCTTGCAGAGCCATCGCCTTCCCATCCCATCAACCGCGTCCGGCAACTCGTCGACGCCTCTTCCAACTCCAGCAGCAAGGACGCTGCGACGTGCCAGACGCATTGGATGTTCAACTAGTACTAGGGAATAAAATCTAATATAACACGAAAATCGAAATCGATAAATCTCAAGAGATGTTTGAGACTGTTGCGATGAACACAGACATCGCTGTCGGCACGACCTCACGTCACGATGCGAATGAGTGAGGCAAAGGGAGAAGACGCGACGACGGCAGGTCCAAAATGCACTGAATAAAATTGAATTCTTCTTAGTTTATTGCCTGCTGCTAGTCGACTGTTTACCACCGCTTGCTCGTGGCTTTGCTCGTGCCCTTGGTGTTGGTTGCGCTGCTGTTGTTGTTGTTGTTGTTACCGCGCATCGCGTTCGAGTTGCCCTTGGCGTTGTTGGGCCGCGCGTTGTTGGTGCTGCGGCTGTCGTTCGGGCGGCGGTTGCCCGCGGTCGAGGCCTCGTCCTTGGTGCTCAGCGCCGCCGAGCGCAAGTCCATCATGCGCTCGTTGTTTTCGACGAGCGTGCCAATCTTGTCCGAGAGCTGGAGCGCGAGCAGCTGGAGGCGCGTGCGCTCGACCTTGTGAAGCACGATCGACTGCGAGCCCTGGTCCCACGCACCCTGGAGCTCCTCGTTGATCATCATCTTGGACACGACGCTGTGGACGGTCTTCGAGTCGAGGCCAAACATGGCGCAGAGCTGCGCGAGGTTGAGCGCTTCGTAAGCATCCGAGAACGCCATGAGGTACGAGCGGAGCGCTTCGACCTGGATCTTGTGCTGGACCATGGCCTTGACGCGCTCCGAGACACCGGCGCCGGGGAAGAGATCCCAGACCGCGAGGCCGCAGATGAGCTCCTTGCTGTACTGCCAGTTGCCCTGGGCCATGGCCTTGGCCGCCGACACAATGTGGTCGCGCGTGTTCTCGGGCGGGCCCGCAAACACGAGGCGGTCGTGGAACTCGAGGAGCTTGCGGAACGCCTTGGAGATGACGCGGCGACGGTCCTGCGTGCGCGAGAGCACCATGTTGGGCACTTCGAGCAGCATGGCCGACGTCAAGTGGCAGAGCTCGAGGAGCTCCAAGTTGATGTGCATGTGGTACGGCACCTGGCGGCGGCGCTCGAGGCGTTCCTGGTCCGGGTCGCGCTCCTGGTGGCGGAACGACGCGAGGCCCTGCGCGAGGAGCTCCTTGGTCTTGGAGCCCGTGCAGATCTCCGAGAGGCACGCGTGCGCTTCCCACATGAGGCCCGAGCGGAAGGCACACAAGCCGAGCTGCGCCATCATGCGGTTGAAGAGGATTTGCGTCGCAATGTCCGTGTGCACGATCGTCTCCTGCAAGTGCGACATGAGGAGCAGGTCGCGCGCTTCGTGGAACCGGTCGTGGACCGCGTGGTGGTAAATGTGGCAGAGCATCGCGCGCGTCTTGCTGCGGTCGTCCGCGTGCTTGTACACAAAGAGGCAGAGGTCGTTGAGCTCCGTCTCAATGTCGAGCGGCGCCACCTCGACCGTCGGCTGGCCGAGGATCGACGCCGGGTGCATGAGCGACGGGTTGTACGCCTTGATGGGCACGGCCTTGGCGGTCGTCGACTCGGACGCCGGGTGCAAAAGCGCCGGCTCGCCATACTTGGCACGCTTGGCGTTCGAAACGTGGAGCGCCGACGCGATCGACTCGTGCTTGTAGTACATGAGCTCGGCGCGGATGAGCGCGACTGAGGCCGCGCGGACAAAGTCCGAGATGCGCACATAGTAGGCCTGGACGCGGCGAGCGAGCTCCGAGAGAAGCGCTTCGTCGTAGAGGCGCGCAATGTACTCGGCCGTGTGCGGGTCCATCTGCTGGAGGCTCTTGGTGTATTCGTCCGTAAGGCGCTCGATGAACGCGGCGAGGTCACCCGAGACCTTGATGACGCCCTTGGAGCCAGCGACCGGAAGGTGGTCAGCGACAGAGTCGTCGTCTTCCTCGTCGTCGGCCGTCGCGTCGGCGTTGTTGCGCGATGCCGTGACGCGGATGATGTCCGCCTGGTCCTCGGAGGTCAGCGGCGCGAGCGTGAAGCCCGTGTTCTTCTCGAGGAGGTCCAAGATCGTCTGCATGTCGCTGTGCGCCTGCTTCCAGAGACGCGTCGAGAGCACCTTGTCGATCTTGCTCGACGTGTCAAACATCGTAGCGCCGACCATGTACATGGTGGCCGTGAGCTCACGGGCGGGGCCGAGGCGGCGCGAGTACTGCACGAGCTTGCGGAGCGCCGAGAGCTGCTCACCAATGTCCGTACCGCGCTTACCGCGAAGGGCAATGACCTCCTTGATCTTCTTGTCAAAGCCGCTCTTGGAGAGCTTGAGGTCTTCCTCGGCGGCGGGCTTCTTGGCCTCGGCGACGACCTTGACCTTCTCGGCACGGGGCGCCTTCGGGCCCTTGACCTTGGGACCCTTGGTGTTGACGGCAGGGGTCGCCTTCAACCAACGCGCACGGCCCTTGAGGAGGTTGACGTTGGCGTCGTCGTCATCGGACGACGAGCTCGAGCTCGAGCTCGAAGCCCAGTTGTCCGAATTATCATCGTCATCCGAATCATCGTCGTCCGAGTCCTTGTCGTCCGACGACTTGTCCGACGACTTGTCCGAATCGTCCGAAGCGCTGTCCTTCTCCGAGTCGTCGTCTGAATCCTTATCGCTGTCCTTGTCCGAGTCAGAATCCGAGTCCGAGTCCGAGTCGGAGCTCGAGTCGCTCGACGAGCTGCTCTCGGGCTCGCTCTCAAAGGCCGACGGGTCAGCACGGTATTCCTCGAGCTGCTTGACAATGGCTTCGTTGTGCTTCTTGATCTTGCCCTTCATGCGGATGAGCGCCTTGGAGTTTTCCTTGCTCATCTTCTTGTCCGACTTGTTCTTGAGCGACGTCGTCATCGCATCTTCGAGCTGCGCCATGACGCGGATGTAGTACTTGGGGTACCCGTTGGCCTGGATGGCCTGCTTGGCCTTGGCGTTGTCCATGGTCTTGGCCATCACATCAAACTCGCCCTGGATCTTGCTCCAGTCGTTGATCTTGAGAAAGTTGGTGATGAGCGCGCACGCCGTCTGGAGCGCCGTTAGCGCCTTGTCCTTGGCCGAGACGACGACGCGGACGTCCTCATCCGAGTCCGAGTCCGAGTCCACGCCCAGCGGTTGGCGGCGATCTTCACGTCGACTTCGCTCGAGCTCGAGCTCTCGCTACCGCTGTCCGACTCGGAGGACGACCCGCCCCAGAACTTGCTCGCCATGGTCGCTTGGAAATGGGGCAATCAATGGCAACCGGGACAAGCCCAATATTCCCTCTTTCCACTGAACACGAGAAATAAAAACCCACCGCTTATCTCTATAAACCCACGCATTAAATCCTCAAATTCCAATACCTCTGTAGACTGAACGGCGCCACCTCCAGTAATTTCAAGTGCGCAACCTCTTGGGCGCGATATTCATTTTGAGAGGTTGTCTCGGACCGCCTTGCTACGCCGTCAAGCGTCCATCATGACATCCCCATGGACGTCCTTGACGACGACGTGCATGGCGCAGTGCTGCATACACATTCGTGTACTTTGGACCTTGGATATGGCAAGCCATACCAACACACGATCGAATCGAGCGAACAGAGAGGATGGAGCGCGTCGCGGGCTAAAGAGGCGTGGGTTTAGCCATTCCTCGTGATTGGCTGGTTTCTTTTGACCATTCGAATGCCCCACAAACCTCGATTTGTAGTAGCGATGTTGGCTCGAGCGGTGGCCGGCTTGCGCCTGACCGCGCGTCCCGTGGTGCGCGTGACCAGCGCAGCCTTCTCGACGAGCGCCAAGGGCGACGACAGCAAGAAGCCCGTCGAGGACGACGACGAGACCGACCCGGACACGTGGCTCGGCTTCAACGGCGACCTCGACGCGGCGACCGAGGATGGTACCGCGACGTGGCTCCAGGCCGTCCGCACGGTCATCGACCTCAAGGAAGAAGAGAAGCTCGAGGCGCGCCGCAAGCGCCAGGAAGCGCACGCTGCGCTCCAGATCACGCGCGTTGTCGAGATTGACGAGCTTGGCCGTGCGTACGGCACGGGCCGCCGCAAGACGAGCAATGCGCGCGTGTGGATCAAGCCCGCCGCCGAAGAGGGCAAGGGCACGGTCCGCGTCAACAAGATGGACATGGTCGACTACTTTACGCGCGACACGCACCGCCACGAGCTCCTCCTTCCGTTCCTCGAGATCAAGCGCCTCGGTCATTTTGACGTGATGGCCAACGTCCGCGGCGGTGGCCTCAGCGGCCAGGCCGGCGCCGTGCGCCACGGCATCAGTCGCGCGCTGGAAAAGTATAACCCGGACTACCGCGTGCCGCTCAAGAAGGCTGGCTTCATGACGCGTGACCCGAGAATGGTCGAACGCAAGAAGCCCGGTCAGAAGAAGGCGCGCAAGCAATTTCAGTGGGTTAAGAGATAGAGTGTACACAGTAGGCCATATACAGACGCCGACGGGCTTTGCAAAGGTACCGCAGCGATGCAGTGCGATCGTAATACACACGCCGTCTTCTGTGCTATTCCACCGACTTCGAAACCTTCTTACACATCACAAGCATTACCACATAGAAGCGATTGACGCCGCTGCGCCATTATTGCACCCCTCTGTCTGCACCCTCAGCTTCAGCGTACATGCAGTGCCGGCTGCAGCGTGCTTGTGACACCTGGATCGGCGCAGCCAACCCCGGAGTTTTTCCGGACAAAGAGGAGTGGGTGGTCAGGACTGGGACGTCGGTTTTGGTTCAACTTGCTGTTCATCTCATTCGTCGATTTTACGGCCGCAGCAAGTAGGAGGTCCCAGTAGAGAGACTAGAGACGAAGAGGAAGAACGCGCATTCGGTATCTCCGCCTGGTGAATCCTATCTGTACCAGGCGGTCAAAAGTAATGCCATAGCGACCCGTGATGCTTCTATAGTTAGATGACGAACAGCGCCCGTCTGATTGTTGTCTTGGAAAGGTATCGTACATTCTGATCGACCGAAACGTAGTTAGTTAGAGCTTCGACTTATTGGCGAATTCGCCCGGTGGTTCTGCGCGTCCATCGCATGGACTCCGGTATAAATTTACATTCAGCCAAAACCAACTTGCTTTTGTTTGAAATGGCGGCGCTCTACGTGCGCTGTCGTTATAGAAAAGCACACACCTTGAAAGCAACCGATTGAGCATCCGCGAGAAACTACAATACATCTAATACACACCATTACGGTCCTTCCATTATATCCCTTCTTCGAAGCGAGCTATGTCGTGGCAGTCAAGAAGGTTGCGATTTGGTGCAGCTTGGCCTCGACGTCGTGCTGCTTTGCCACCACTTGGTTGTACTCTTGTTTGTACGACTCGGACTTGGCTTGGGACTTGGCGAGAGCGCTCTGGAGGCCCGCGAGCTCCTTCTCCGTGTCTCGTCGACCGCTGGCCAAATACGCCTTTTCCTCTAGGACGCCGATAGCATGTGAGTTGGTCGATCAGAATCAGAGATTTGCCTTACGCCGCAAGCGAGCGACCTCCGCTTTCGTCTCTGCAAGCGCTGCAACAAGGACTTTGAGCGTATCTTCGTGGCCACCGACGGCGGAGAAGCGGCGCTGCAGCTTGTGTCGCCCCAGTATTGCCTCTTCCTTGAGGAATGCGACCGACTCGGCGTCCTTCTCGAGTTGCTCGACTTTAGCTTGGCTCGCTGCATTCCGTGCCTCAAGGGCGCTAACTTTGGCGTGGCCATCTGCAACGTCCTGCTTGGCTTGCGCGATCTTGCTCTGGAGCTCGGTCATGTCGGCGCGCGAGTAGCTTATCGCGACGCTGTGCTTGATCATTGTACCCGTACAATCCGATCTAGAGTACGCCCCACCCCGTCACGGTTTGCTAACCGCCAGGTATTTTTGGAGATAGAGGACTCTTTGGCCCTCATGGACTCTGCCAACCTTGCGGGATGTTACCAGCTCTCCTGTAGGCATAGTCTAGGTAGATCGCGTTTACCGGTGATTTGCTGCCAAACGACGCTAAGATCGGTTCTGCAGCGCACGTTACAGCGCTGCTCCTGCTGCCACGTATGAGTATCCTCTCTCGTCACTCTCCCACTCTCTTTTCGGCAACGGAAGATTAAACGTGGCACTCATGGCGGCGCACATGCCGAAAACAAGAATTAGCTTCTACCACGTATCGGATACAAAAAAGAAGACGATTTTGAACTCAATCTTTCGTCCGGATACAATGCAGCCAATCATCGACGCGTTGTAGCCACATACAAAAAGATTGATGTTCATGAACGGGGGTGGACCGTTTATCCGGCAACGAGCGAAGAAGGGACTAGCCATATTTGTGAGGACGCACGCGATGGACAAGTACCGCAAGGCCAAGCCAACGACCAAGCCCTCGGAGCCCAACCAAGTGCGTGTCGGTGAGTTCGCTCATGCATTCCATGACAAGAAGAAGCACGTCGCCAAGGTGAAGAAGCTGCTGCGCAACGGCGCCGTCGTCGTGACTGCCCACGACACGGCCATCGTCAATGCCGTGACGGTGGCCGAGTTGGTCAAATCGACGCTGGCTTGTGTGCACTCGGTGGTTCACATCTCGACCGTCAACATTGAAGAGATCTATGAGCCTCTCGAGGAAGGTCTGGACGTGGTCACGGTGCCTAAGCGCGTTTCGGCGATTTCAATCCACCTCAGCACGGATGCAACCACGATCAACACGGCGGACGCCAGCTACACGCAGCCCTTGTCGCCGCGCCAGGTGGCTCGCAAGCCCCAACAGGATGGCACACCGCCATTGTCGGATGGCGCCTCCAAGCACCGCACACCCCGCCCGGTACGACAGGCCGTCGCCACAACGGAAGAGGCATCGCCGTTGCCAGAGACCGTCGAAGAAAAGTCACCGGCACCCAAGAAGCGACGCGACAAGAAGCCTCGGGCGGTGGTAGATCCAGTACCCATCGAAAACAGCACCGTTGAAGCCGGTGCTGCTCTCGATGTCGATGTCGCCTTGAAGAAGGGCAGTCAGTCCCGCAAGCCCCGAAAGCACTCAAACGAGCGGAACGCGGCTGGTGAACATTCAGGCAACACGGCGAATGGCGCACCTATCGATCGGCCGGCACGTCGTGGTTCGCGCCGTGGGTCGACCGAGACCGCGCAAGTGGTTGTCCCGAGCAACGACGCCACGGTGGTGCAAGTCGACGCCGCGCCGACCAAGAGCGAACGGGCGCCGCGGCGAAACAACCGTGGTCCCCGACCCGACACGGCGCCGACCAACGGTGAAGCCAAGCAAGGCGGCGAGCCGGACGGTCGACCGGCGACGGGCCGTGGCCGTCGTCATCGCGGCAAGTCGGAAGCCAGCAATAGCAAGCAGGAACAGGAACAATAAAACCTCTCGTTGTGGCGTATCTTGGTAAAGTTGGGTGTTTTCATCCTCCCTCAAAATACCAGACCGTCCATTCTAGTGCAGGATGCTCGAGCATGGCTTCCTGAACCTCTGCAAGCCGAAGGGCATGACGTCGCACGCGTGCGTCGCCAAGTTGCGCCACCTCCTCAAGACCAAGCACATTGGCCACGCAGGAACGCTCGATCCGATGGCCACGGGCGTGCTACCGATCGCTGTGAACCGCGCGACCAAGTTCATCCAGGTGCGACGACGACGAGGGCATCCGCACCTCTTGATGTGCATGGTGCGCAGTTCTTGCACAAGGCCAAGGCCTACGATGGCACGATCCGGTTCGGCGTCACGACCGACTCGGACGACATTACGGGGTGCATCGTCGCCGGAGCAGTGCAATTGTGCTGATCGAGCCACCTTGCTGTAGCACCGTTCTCCTCGAGTGCCCCGTGCCCGAGCTTACACACGCCCGCGTAGAGGCTGCACTGCGAGGGTATACTTCCATTCATCGAGAAAACCTTCCATTACGACAGCGACGCGTAGGTTCGTCGGCAACATCATTCAGCGCCCGCCGGTGGTCAGCGCGATTCGCATCGACGGCGAGCGGCTCTACCACTTGGCCCGCACCGGCAAAGTACGCGCTCCATGCTACGACTCATGTTCGCTCACAATGCATAGGCGACGCTCGACGACGTACCACTGCGGCACGTGACGGTCCACGGCATCCAGCTCCATACGTTCACGCCTGGCGACTACCCCGAGGTCATCCTTCGACTGGCCATGTACGCGCTTCTACATAATGGCACTCTAGGCGACAATCTCGGTCGATTGCAGCGAGGGCACGTACATCCGGTCGATTGCGCGCGAGTGTGGCGAGGTGCTTCTCGTCCAGAACGGAGACATCCCCGCCGGCGCCACGCTCGCATCGCTCCACCGCACGCGCAGCAACGGCCTCACGCACGAGTCGAGCTTGACACTCGAGCAAGTCGAGCGCTGCGTTCAGGTACTCTGCACCACGAGCATTCTGGTCGCTGCACCACTTGGCTAGGACGGAACGCTGGTTTTGACGCCACCGGAAGCCCTCCTCCAGCACCTGCCACGCATTCACATGTCGCCCGCCGTCGAGCGTGTCTGGCGCAACGGCCAAGCGCTCCTGTGGCCCGTGGCCGATGTCCTTGACGCGCCGCCGTCAGCAAGTCCTATGACCACGGCGGTCTATAGCGACGGCGGCGCGTTCCTCGGTGTCACGACACTGGCGCTGGACGACGCATCACGTTATTCGATTACAGGGTCGCGTCTGCTTTTGCATCCGTAGACGGCATAAAGTCCTCGGCGCGGAAGCTCTGCGCGGCGCGGATCTGGCGCAGCCACTCGTCGCGCAGCGCGGTCGACGACACGCGAAAGATTGCTGACCGCGGCGCCTTGGCAATGATGCGCTTGGGTAGAATATACTTTGACGTGGGCAGCGCTGCTTCCAAGAACGCGAGATCCTCGTTTGCGTTCTCCTCGTCATCGACGTCTTCGTCCGGGGCCGACAGACTATCGTCTTCCAATGACGCCTCGCCAAGGTCCATCGTGGTAGGCGCGATTGCAACCGGCGCATGCTCCGAGATAACAAAGCCGACGTCCCCATGTGCTGCGACGTCGCAGTGCACGGCGATGAGCGACACGACCGAGTGCTGCAGCATCTCGACATTCGTCGCCTTGGCAGCCTCCTCGGTCGTAAACCAGTTGAGGTAGCCGCACTCGAGCTTGAGGAAGACGCGGCCCCAGCGCTGGAGTCGGCTGCGGGGATGGAGCTTCTCGGCCGGCGTGAGCAAGATGGGCGCTGATACGAACGTCGCAACGCACGTCGACGTCGTTTTGGCCGTGACGCCATGGGCCTTGAAGAGGTTGATCATCTACGAGGCGCATGCAAATGGCGATGCTAGAGCCACATAATCACTTGAAGCTGGATGGCCTCGCGCTTCGTGTCGTCCGTCGGGTACCGAGCGTCGTCCATGATGATCCCTTGCGTCCCATCAAGGTCGACGACGCGGCCGTTAATCGAGACGAGCACGCTGCCTACCATCGTCGACGCTACTGCATCCAAACTAGCCGTACAAAGTGTTCGTCTACCTGGCGTGATCGAGAGGGTCGCGTCGACGACGCGCAGGACCACCATCGAGTTACCAATGCGATCAAAGAGGAACCCAAACCCATGGTTGATGGTCTCGCGGAGGCAAAAGGCGACACGCTCAAAGACAGGCGGCGCACGCACGGGGCTAGGTGGCCGTGGCGCCGATATACTCGTCGTCGTAGAAAGAGGAGGAAGAGTGGCCGGCGGCAGCGCCACGACAGGCTTGGCGATGCGAAGCGGCCACGGCTGCTTGGTCGCACACCGCGCGTTCAAGGCGTCGCGGATCGCACGCAGCTCATCTGCATTCATCGCGCTTTCTTCTATCTATAGCTCAACGGTACTCCTCCCAAGCGCCTCCTACCTACCGGTACCGTACTGAGACGCAGTGCAATGAGTTCGTAGTGCAATGATGCCCATGACCAGCAGATGTCATCACGGAAGCTTCCATGCTTCAAGAATGAGCGCCGTCGCCATAGCTGGCGCGTGTCGACAGGCCGAAGCCAAACCGGATCCGGATACACAGGAGGGTATCAATGACGTGCGTTGACTTGCATTTTGTATATCTCGGCCACCGATCATCTTTCCACCCCGAGCGTCGGAATCGCGCGCCGAGTGGCTAATCGCACGCCACTCTTGTGCTGCAGCGTGCTGCGTGGGCTACTCGGAGCAGTAGCGTTGCCACGTAGGAAGAGTATCTCAGTCGCCGCCGTCGCATGGCGCCTTAGACACCGCGCTCGCGGTGGTGCGCAAAGGACGCGGCGCGGACGAGTGGGCCGTGTGTCGCTTCCGTCTTGGGTACCTATTTTTATGGCCATGGATGGAGTGTAACTAGGGACCAGGTCGTCGTGAGGGATGTATACGTACTAGCAGTGTGCATACGGGACACGAGACGACTGTCAGAGCCCCATGAACGCCGCCCGCAGAGATGAGCGCTCCAGAGGAAGCTACTTGAGAGCTCTATATTCTGACACGAAGGAGACTGTCCCGAGATGCAGTCAGATTGCAGTCCAGAGTGTTCCGTGGTTCAATTGCATCAATAGCCTTAGGTTGTTGTGGCATCCTGTGACATCTTCAGCCTCGTACGCGCTGGGAAAGATGGTCTTTGCTTGCTCGTGGCTCTGAAATGCGTAGCTGTGCAGGCAGTACGCTCAATGAGAGGTAGTCATCGCGGTAGCGCGCTCAGTGGGGTACTGTATTAAGCCGCAGAGCCAAGGCGTTGGGTGCATTTAGCCTGTCCATCGATGCGCACATTCAACCTCCTGCGATACGTCGTGTGAGCAACGCCGGCGCTACGCTGGTACTCGCCAGCCTCGATCGCTCAGCGACTGGTCTCGCTCGTTCGTTCCATTTCCAATTCCGCTGCCATGTTGATGCGCTTCCTCGGTCTTCTTCTCACAGGCGCCGCGACGGTGGCCGGCTTCACGGGCGACGGCACGGGCTACCACCTCTCGGACCCCAAGACGGGCAACTGCAACTTCATGAAGTACCCGTCCGCGGCGACGACCCACTACGTGGCGCTGGCCCCCAAGTTCTTTGACCACACGATGGGCTGCGGTATGTGCATCCAGGCCAAGTGCAGCGACAGTGCGTGCGCGGGTGCGACGGCCACCGAGACGTTGTACGTCGTCGACCAGTGCCCGGGCTGCATGGACGAAGACATTGACATCTCGCCCGAAGTCTTCCGGAAGCTCACGAACGGCATCGAGCCCGGCGCCTCAAGATGACGTGGTCCTTCGTGCCGTGCCCGATCTCGGACTCGATCTCGATCTGCAAGAAGGCAGGGAGCAACAACCACTGGCTCGCGCTCCAGCCGACCAACACGCGGACCGGCGTCGGGTCCGTCTCGATCAACGGGTCGCCCACCAAGATGGTCGCGTCGGCCTTCTACTTTGTCGTTGAAAGCGTCCCTGAGATCGACCTCAGCAAGGTCCTCGTGTCCCTCTCGCCCGCGGGCGGCGGCACCGCGGTCTCGGCGACCGTCGATCTGAGTGGCGAAGGCTGTGCGACGACCAGTGTCCAGTTTGGCGGCGGCCCGGCACCTGGCCCAGCTCCCACTTCTGCGCCGACACCAGCTCCGACTCCGGCTCCTACATCCGCCCCTACACCCGCCCCTACACCCGCCCCTACACCCGCTCCGACGCCGGCCCCGACGCCGGCCCCGACGCCCGCACCGACAGACACCCCGACGACAACACCCCCTGCGACGTCTGCCAACGCTACGACAGCTCCGACGACGATGACGCCGATCCCGGCGCCGACCGAGGGAGCTCGGCTGGAGAGCGACGCGACGCCTGCGCCGTCCACACGCGGGACGACTCCGTCGCCGCCGGTCGTTGAGGTGTCCAACCAGAGCAAGGCGGATCCCACTGGCACGTCGCCGCTGATCATTGTGCTCGGCGCGGCGTGCGCCGTGGCTGTCGGCGCCGTCGCGATCGCGATCGTCGTCATCAAGCGCAAGCAGCGCATGGACAAGGAGAACGACTTTGACAGCGACTTCAACCTCGCAGCCATCGTGTCGCACCGCGAGTCGAGCGTTGCTGTCTTGTAACCACGGTGTACATGGCTTGAACGTAGATAGTATCTGTCCTGTATTTAATCCTACCAACGTGGTATCCATATATCCCAAAACTATTCGCGCACCAGGACAATGCCACAGCTCGGCGTAGGCAGCCAGTGGTGCTTCCGTCGTGCTCCGAGGACGATCGATGGCCATCCCGAAGACCTTGGTGTCACTGGTCGTAGAGGGTCCGAGGACGGTTGGCGTCGAGGTCGAGGATGGCCAAGACAACGTCCTGCGCACACGCAGCCAGCGCGTCCTCTGCTTCGTCAGGCGATATGGGAAACTAGAGACCAGCAGAATAAAAAGGCTCACATACTACGTGTACTACGCGTCTACCAGCGTCAGGAGGAGATCCAGGTCCATGGGATCGCAGCCCTCGGCGCAGTGAGTCCGCGTCGCGTCGCCTGGCAGCATCAAAAGGAACACGCGCAGATCTACGTTGACCATAAGAACGTCACTTATAATATGAGATCCAACATGGTAGGAGGCTCGACTTGGTTGCAACCACGGCTTGGACGAGGCTGACGAGCCACGGGTCGCGTGCCACGAGGAGGTCCTTTAGCCTCTACAAGCAACGGCGAAATGCTTAGAACCACAGCGCGTTATCGTACCCGAAGCTTGGCCTTTTGCAGCGGCAGCTCGGCTTGAAGCTTGGAGACGCAGCGCAGCACCTGCATCGCCTCGTCCTGAGTCAACCCCATCTCGCAAGATCTGCTCTTCTCTCATCCGGATACGCAAACCGAATTCGCCTACACAGTACCTCAGCTTCCACTGCACAGGTCGCCAGGTCGCCGCCAGGTCACGATGGGCCATGGTCATTGGTCTTGGCCCGCGCTGCCACACAGTTCTGCCACGCGGGATGGATCATTCGAGAGCCTCCGGATAAATAAGAAGTATGCGGATGCGTACTTTGACCAACCGAAATCATTGCAATTCCGCCATCATGCTGCGCCGCGTCCTCTGCTCGACGGCTCTCCGCACGTCCGCCCGCTTGGCCCCGCGCTGCGTGCGGCCGACGTCG